ACATTTTATCTTTTCATGCTATCTCTGAATGCATAAAGATATCCACAAAGTTTTTCTTTCGTAACATACTATCTTATGAAAGCTGAGATGAACAGAATATGATTAGAAAACAGGAAGATTAGTAACACACCCCTGCAGCACAACCTGTTCTAGCACATTTCTTTCATAGTTTGAAACATAGTGATTGTTCATTAGAGACACACTGCACATTTTTCTAAACCAGTCAGATACCACAGATTAGGTCAGTGTGCAGATTTATGGACAAATAATCTTAGTTTTAGCTTCCCAATTCTAATCACAGTAAGAGAAGCAGTATACAAACAGCTTGTGGTCAAAGTTTTTCTTAATCATTCTGGTAAAATAATGCAAATGTCAAGAAATGCTTGCTACTAATTGTATTTGCCTATAGTTTCTTGATATTAAGCCACACAAGGTATGGATACACCAACATTAAATCGCACAAGCGACTCAGAAGAAGAGAAGAAGAGAATATTCAAAGTTTAGAATTTGTCACTGTCCACATGAACCTTTCAAATGGGGTGAACATTCTAAATCCTGTGAAAATCCATCCAAGTATGCTCACAGACTTTGAAGATTACACACAGAGATGACATATAATCTCATCTATTATGCAAGTCATGCTTTGCTATATGACTTCTTGAAAAATAATTATTCTATATTTTAATTGTTAAAAAATAAGGGGTTTTCAATCTTTTTATATATATGAGTATAATTTCTTGCATTTCACATTAATAAACTGCTCACATTACAAGGTATTTGCACAGTTAGCCTGTGGAGAATGTTAAGTAACATGGCAAGATAATGTTATGTTTTCTACAGGCCGTGGAAAGGCAAAACTGTGGCTGGATGTGTGTCAGAGCCAACATGAGAGCATGCTGCAAAGAAGTGAGGATACTCAGAGCCACTGTGCAATGTTGGTGCCAGAGTCAGCTGCTGTTGTAGGCTGGGAGGAGGGAGAGACAAGGGCTACTGGTGTTTGCAGAAGAAAACTGCTGAAAGTGCAAGAAAGTCACTCCCATCACTCCAAAACCTAATTTATCCTGTCCTACTGGAAAGTCACAGAGAGAACAAGTTCAGAGGGCTTGTAAAGACAAACACAGCAGCTGTAGGTGAGAAATTAGTTCAATAATAGCTGGTTATACCATCACAGATGATGAATACGTAACCACTGCAATTTTTAAATGCCTTCCAAATATTCTCTGTCCACAAAGATCAGTGAACAGTTTTAGAAACACAGTCCTAAAAACAAGGGAGCGAAATGATAGGTGACCAGAATAAAGTGACAAGGTTGGTGATGACAGCAATTACCTGACTCCACAGAACAAAAAACCCTAGGTAAAAGCACATCCTGTACTTGCTTAAATGGAGAAACAATAAAATTGAGTACGCTGAAGCTGTTCTCAAAAGAACATGGTGAAGAATTAGAGGGAGAAAAAAAATCCACCCACTTTCCTGCAACATATCCTATTCCTTTCAGTTGCAGTATGCTTAGGTATTACTGGAAAGACACACAGCACTAAATACCAAAATCACAAATGCATTTTTCAAGTTGAGTGGGTCGCTTAAACAAATCACCTAACATGTTTCTCACAAGCAGGAAAGTTTCTTTGGACAACACTGAAGATGTCTTCATTGCTTAAGGGAAGCTCTGCACATATACTGAAGGATCAGGTGTCAAATGTAAAAGATATCGTGAAGAGACACTGAGAAGACACAACACTTCACATTATCTTACATGTGCATTAAATAATAGGGAATTCACTGCCTAGGTCAAAAAAGTCCCACTTCTATTTAGTCCTATTAAAGTATAATGCTAGCAAAGGAACAATGCTTTTTTTATTTGTTTGTTTTATTACAGTTCATTTTAAATAAAAGTTACAACTAACCCTTCTTTGTCTCTTGTTATGTTGAGACAATTGTTTTTAATTCTTTGGCAGTGTGTTCAGGTAAGTGTCTCACAAAAATAACTGTTCAGAGGTACTTTACTCTTCCCTTTGTAAAAGCATTGCAGAGGCTAATATCCAGCTAAAAAAAGATGAAGTTTGTAAAAGTCACTGCCTTTTCTCCAGTATTATGAACATCAATCATCCACAAATTGTTCTAATAAAACTCATTTAAGAATAAAATGTAGAATAGCAGCAGACGTAAACACTGTTGGAGAAAGACAAAAATGCACACAGTTCAAACACATACTTACAGCACATCTCCCAATTAAAAAAAATGTCCTATTCCTATTTTGAAAACCTAAGGCCAAGCTTTTTATTGCCATAGTAGCAGGACTACAAATTGCAGCAAGTATTAACAGGTGACCTACACTACCACATTATTTTGCTTTGCCTCAGTCATCAAAAACTGTGTAAGTCTGCTGAAATTCCTTGCCCATGACTGTTCCAATGACTGTCCAGGAGAGGAAAGGGGTCATATCTGGACCTTAAAAAAAGGTGCATAGACACATTCAACTCTGAAACAGCAGGATGTAGGATACCTTCACAAAAGTTGAAGATCTTATTGCCAAAGCAAGTTCCCACCCTTGCTTTGCTGCATACAAAGCAGGTATCTGGCCCAGGTAGATACCAGTTTATCAAAATGCAGGCATCTTCCCTCTCCCACAGTGATGGCAACTCATTAAAGAGAAGAGTCCCCAACTGTTAGACGGACTTTCATAGTGTTATGCAGCATGGGAACTGCTCATCCTTAAACAACACAGTCTTTTTGAGTGCCAATTCAGCTTCAAGCAACAAACCTTTCTTGCTGGTCCCAACAGTATGTTATTTTCTCACTCTAATTCGCCTGTTTAAAATATTTAGGAGTGCTCATATGAAAGTGATGAATATGCTCATAATTATGTCCATCTTTATAAGATCCAAACCTAAAGAAAAATATTCAACAAAACAAAACTATTACAACAATATTTACCCATGCAATTAAATCATACAATTACTACACTACTTCTGAATGTTCTAGACAGTTTATTTCAGAAACAGGACCCAATTCTACTTAAATGTAAGTCATAATTTATGTATCCTCTCTCACCAGGTGTCTTTGAATATGGTGAAGACATTTAAATACACTAATTGCATTAATGCCTTAGGCAGTCTATAATTGGAACTCCAGCTGACAAAGGTGAGTGGTGCATTTATCTACTTAAATCTCATGCTTTTTAAATTTTTAGTCCCGACTTCAGTGGAGATATAATTTAAACCCCCATAGTATCAAAATTGTCAACAGTATTGTTAATATTGCACATCTTACTTTTGAAAATTATGGTGAAAATTGTAATTTTTCACACCATATTTAAATCTGAAAGATTTGACAACTATTATGGTAGATAGATTTGCAAAAGTAAAATGGAATATGTATTCAAAATATCAGTGCTAAGTAACATTTAAGAGCAGTGCCATTGTATTTCTAAAGAATTACAGTTAATTGGAAAAAGTTAAACTCATTCCTACAGGCTATACCTTTCCTGCCTGCAAGCAGACAAAAATAATTAGGACAATACTCTGTGCTGAAATTACCTGAGAAAAATCTGAATGTGAATCCTAACTTTAAGTAATGTGGCAAGATGTGCCTAACTTTAGGCAAGTTTCATCAGGTGGAAAAGTCTGAGCAAACTCCCATTTAAACAGGAAGCCAGTGACTGAGTGGGAAATAAAAAGTGAGTAAGCTCAACTGTTAGGTGTATATAAGAAAGTAACATATCCTGTATTATGCATGTTAGGAGTAGTAAATATGGCATTGCTGGAAATAGATATTGTCACAGAGAGGCAATCTCAAACTTCATGACTCTTCCACTGATATTAATATTAGACTAAATACTTTCCTCCATATTTCTATTCCTTATGCAGCACCAGTGGAAAAATGACAGCATTCTAGAAAAAAATAACTTTTTTACATAAAACTAGTAATTTTTATTTCTCAACACATGTAACATACTGCCTCAGGCATCCTCTTTAATTTTTGCTTCAGTTATATGGTATATTTTAAAATGTTTATGCAAAGAGTATTTAATGTATATATTGTATTTTGTCTTCTAAGTAACAGTGTATTAAGACCCCAATCCTCTGAAGTCCTAAGAAATATGGGAGATCTTTCATGATCTATAAAATGAGTCATCACACCACTTGGCAAAAATCCCTATCAAGCAATCTCAGAAATTAATTACCGGGGTAAATAAGCATTACTTTCAATATATGCTACAACACAGCAGATTGATTTTCCCAAGGTGCGTGCCAAGTAAATAGAAAAAAAAATGGAATTACAAATCAGAAGTTCTTGCCTCCTAATATTTTCAATTTGGTACTGATCAGTGCCCCCCAACTCAAGAAAAATTTTGTTTCTAGACCTCTGTTTTACAAGATGTCGCATACACTATCACCTTAATTTCTTATGAGATACACTGACCTGGGATTGAAATGGATGTCCTTAGGAACTTGGCTGGGATCAGTGACAATTCTGTCATTGTCAGCATAGCTATCCACATGATGTGGGATTCTAAATTTGGCCATCTGGACTTCTGAATCACTTAAACCAGCATGAGATATGCGGGCATAACCCAACCTATCAAATACAAGAAGAGTTAGTTTGAAGAAAAAACTCAAGGTAATTTCACCACATTCTTAATGCATGTATTTTTTTTTCCAGGAGTTATTCTTTAACTTACCAGCATAATTTTCCATTTCTGTGAATCTCACCTTCAAAAAACTGAAACTGCTCCATGAACACAACCCTAACACAATGTCACGAGTATAAAAACTGAAAAAGCCTAAGTGTCTGAGAATAAGTTCTACAGCTAGAAACTTATTTTTAAAATTACAACTTCAGAATATAAGCTTACCAACTTCTTTCATTGAAGAGATTTCGATATTCAAGAAAGAAACTCAAGCATCAATGGAATGAATAATAAGAAACGTTAAGATTGCATATGGGGGCAGTTTGTTACCCTGGTTTTTTGGTGTGTTTTGTTTTTTTTTTTTAATTCAATACTGTTAAGATAGCAATCAAGTTTACAGGTTTTATTCCTGTGAACACTGCAGAATTTGCACAGTTTATTCAGAATAAGTTTAATTCCATTCTGGTACATACATCACCAAGAGAATGATTTACAAGCAATTTGGTTTTGAAAGATATGGATCTCATAGGTCCTAAGAGAAAAGTGTTTCAATATAGGCTTACAAAGTTGAAGTTTCCACTAAACCCAGCATAATGATTGGCTGGATTAGATCAGCATTTTGCTTCAAGAAACCCTACAATTATACTTCAAAATGTCTAGCTTCTGTGTCACATACAAATTAGGGCTTAGCCTTCACATTTTAGAAGCTGCAAAGTCAGAGCTTTGCAAAAATGTAGTTTTACATTACCAAAGCAGACTAGATCTGAATACATTTTACACAGAAGGATGAAACCTGTAATACTGTCTTTGCAATTGTATTCAGAAATACACCAATTCATCCTGATACAGTGTTTCACATTACTTCGTGATTGATCTGTCTATACATAATTGTTTAGGGATATAAGAGTCTTCCACAATCACCTACAAAAGAGTATAAAACTGATTGCCACTAAGATATTTAAACCAATGAATAAATAATCTACTTTAGCATACCTTATTACTCCACGATACATAATATAGCTACACCATCTGTCACGATCTGTACTGTCAATATCCTAGAAGCGAAAGGGGAAAAAAAGTCAAACAAATAAAGCAAATTTTCCCTTGGATAGGCTTTAAATCAGTAACAGGACCAATGTGTAAAAGTGCTAAGAAAAATGTTTTGCCTAAAACATTGTAATAAGGTAGAAAGAAAAAAAAAACACTTTTAGACAAATCGCATAACTTTTTGACATCTCCTAATAGAAAACCAAACACAGAGCTCAGTTTTAAAACAAAAGAATCACAGAATTAGAGGCTGAAAGGGTTGTCTGAAGGTCACCTACTCCTAACCCCGTGGTCAACGTAACTTCAAGCAGATTGCTCAGGACCTTACCCAGGTAATTTTTGAATATATCCAAGGATGGAGATTTCACAACTTCACCAGACCCCTGTTCTAGTGCTTGACTACCCTAACTGACTTTTTTTTTTCTTCTGTTATCTAAATGACATTTCCTTTGTGGCAACTACTGTCCGTTGCCTCCTGTTCTTTATTTGAACATGTGCATATTTTCTTCTACACCTATTTTCAAGTTATCAATTTAAAATATTATGCTATTTCCAATATATTTTATCTCTAAAGATGCATTATTTTTACATTACCTTGACATTTCCATTTTCTATTAATTCAGTATAGTCTCTGGATCCAGGAGCTGAAGTGATGTACCCCAGAAATACAACTTGCTTAGAGCTAGTCTTCAATAGGTTTGAAACAGCTATTGCCTGGAGTTTTCTGTCCAAGTCCTCTCTGAAAGAAATGGAAAAGACTTTAACATATGTACATTTTAGCTCTGAATCTTTGTGCTATAACATAGCAAGCCACAAATGAATCTGGTACCATTTTTTTGCTCAGTATTAGAGAAAACGAAAGTTTACAGCAAGCCTAGTGATTTAAAGTTATTGTTACATTTGATAAAAGCCACATGATCATGGTAGATGTAATTAGGGTTCTCTTTCTAACCATTACAAGAACAACATTTTCTATTACTGTTTTGTCTTTAATACTGATCTCATCACCAGGAAATGTGAATGTACGTGCTTTGGTTATCTCAGGCTTTGTCTCTGCTTGCACTTAAAATTTAACTGTGCACAGTATCATGCATAACAAAGAGCTCACATGCTAACAAAACTTTTATGATGGACAGATCATGGTAAATATAGTCTTAAAGTCTGGTTCACATAGTTTATGAAATATGACTTGAGCTACGTCATCCCATTAACTTTACTTAATTATATTTGGCAGGTATTCTCCATCTCTAATGAAATTTACACAACAGTTACAACATGACCAAAAATGATAGCATAGGTGGAGCCTGGTAAAATACTGCATCGAATCCCATTCCTCGTCCTTGGGTTTGTCATAAAACAACGCAAAGACAGTTCTCTATGATTCTTCATATTTATAATTTTAAATAGTTGTGTAAATCATGTTGTGTTCTATGTTTTGGTAGGCTGGGCTAAATACCATTGAGAAAGGGAGCTAAATACCATTGGAATCTGTAAACCCAAGAGAAGACAAGAATTTTAGTGTGGTTATGCTTTATAAACAGTGATATTTCTGACTGAAGCAAATGCATTAGGGAGAAAGAGCACAGAAACATGAGACAAAAAAACCCCAAACATTTAAATAGAAACCTGACCTAGGTATGTCTGAAATTGCCTGCTCAGCTAGTTGCTCTTTCCAGAATTACACCTCTCCAGAAGATGGGATCTTTTTAATGACACAGGCATGGTTATATTTCCACATTTCAAAAACAGTATTTAAAAACATCCCTAGTTATCCAGTATTCTACACTCTATGTCATCCTAAGCAGTAGAAGGAGAAAAAAAAGATTAAAACCAAGCAGTTGTGTGCAACATTTAATTACAAATTCATTCCCCTCAAAAAAACAATCTAATTTGCACTCATTTCCCATATGTCTCCTCACATTTTCTCCTTCATCTTTATCTCATCTCTCTCTGAGGGGGGAATACAGTGCTATTTTCATCTGCTTTGACAAACTGTTTCTCAGACAGGCAAGTCTAATCACCTGTGTGAGGCATAGAATGAAATTCCTTTCTAGAGTTCAAATCAGGAGTGATTTCTCACAACTATATTTGTTTAATAAATGGGAAATTTATAAAAAATTTGTAGGTTTGGAGCACAGTTTCTACACTGGGGAAGGAAATGGGATAAGGAGAATTCTTGCTGTTTCCTGAGCAGCTTCTTTGTGTTATTATATTCTGCACTCTATCCATAAATTTGCCCCTCCGTGAATTATAACAAATTTAAAAAAAAATTCCAGATCCTACTACATAGCCACAAACACACTAGATATTGCAGCAAATATAATAGAAAATACAGCTACATGGAGCATTCACAAAACTATCTCTTATTAATATTTGTTACGCACAAGTAATCAAAATGTTGTTTTTCAAGAACTGAAATATACACCTTATTCTCTTCCATCACATATTTGAGTTATTGGTATAATTTTGCCTTTCCAAATCCAGAGATCAGACTTCATATTGCCACTTGCATACAGTCAGAAGGACACTGATGGGTATTTTTATTGCTGTTTCAACATCTTGCTTTCTTGGAAGTTTCAGATTTGTTACTTTTTGTTTTAATAAATATCATTTTTCCATTAACACTATCTATCTGTAACTGCAACTATCTGCACTCATTGTGGAATATAGTAGATCTATTCCATATTCATAAAGTCAGAAGGATGCTATCCTGCACTGAGATGCATCTCTAGCCCTATCATTTGTTGTGACTTTAGAACAATATCTTTAAATCCCTAGTAATTCAGATAGTAGGCTCAGCTGAGTTTTGCATGACACATTTGTCCTGTTTAAAAAGTACTTCAAAATTTTAAACCAGTAGTTATGTCACAGTATTTCCTCAAGTGTGCCTTGCTAGAACCAGTATTACAGTGGCATATTTAGAGGGTACAAAAGAAATCACAGAAATTCACAAATTACATTACATGACTTTGTACGATATATGTAACAGCAAATAAAATACACACTCTTCGTTTCCAAAGTGGGCGACAACGAAATCAATCAGTTTCCCTGTGAAGTTGACCGTCAGGGAAATGGCAGGTGCAATCTCTCCCTCTGGAGACGGAAGGAGGTGATGGGTTGATTTTACAATTGGATACTTTGATAGCGCCATAATCCTAAATGAGAAGAGGCAAAAAGTGACATTTTGTAGTTCACGAGAATCACAGGTGTGAACTAAGCAGATAAATGTGAGTAGAAGACTAACAGTCACTGAACACAAACCATCAGACCAGGATATAAACCACCTCTAGTAGATTTTTCCAAATTTAGGTTTCCCTCTAAAATACTACTTGAGTACATGCCCAAAACTGTATTATCAATTTAATTCCTACACTAAGAAATATTCTGCATATATGAATTCTCACACTGAGCCTTTCACAATCTGTATTTCAGACAAAACAGAATTTTATACCATTAGAAATTCAAACGTATTTTATTAGAAGCAGAGAGAAATACATCTTCCAAGTATGAGATGTCTCATTTTTCAGCTTCTGTTTAGACATTTTGCATCAGGTTTTTGAAAATATTTCATGAATAAAATTTCGGAGAATTATTTTTCTGCCCCATTCTGCCTCACTTAAATAGACAGACTCTGGAAGAGGAAAGATACTAAATAATTAAATAGCCCATGCAACATCACTAGAAAGTTCTATCTGCCACAGAGATCTATATATCCCCCTGAAAAAAAAGCCACATCGTAAGCAACTATTTTTCCAGAAGGCAAAGGTATTGAAAGATATGCAACTGGTAGTTGGTCAAGCATTAAAGTAAAATCAACACAAAAAATCTGGTCAAACAGACGTGTCTTTCTATGCCCATTTCCCACTATAGAGTTCAACCTGGATTTAAGGAATTCAAGATTTCAAATACCTCCAGGTGCAGTTACATTTTCCAACTGCTATCACATGTTTAAGTCCAAAATATAAAGGTCTCATAGCCCAAACCAAAATAATTTGAAAAGGGAATCAGATACAGTACTTAGAATGACAAACTTCCAAATCATTACAGGATGCCATTCTCTACTTCACCAAAACCAAAGTAGCCTACAGGGGCAGGCACCAAAACCTGATCATGTTTAACAATGAGAAAACTCCGTCTGCACTAAGGAATCAAAGCCTGTTCCTAAAAGACAAGCTCCAACAAGTGATTATGGGGATTATGACTCCAACTATTCTTTGCTCACGTTCTAGCACAGTTAGCATTGGGCAGTGTATTTACATCTATTTACTGTCACTGTGCATGCGAAGATGACTCACCCCCAAGTGTGATCTCTTGTGCTTGGACCAAAATCTGTGTAAAATCCTAGTTTTTCTCCTAGCCACATTGTTGGATCGTGGTTTCCAATGAATGGCTTAGAGGCATCACTCTCTATAATAGTGATAAAATCTGCTTCTAAAAAAGGAAGGGAAAAAACGAAAATATTTCCAAATTTATAACTGTTACCTATAAATGACTACATAATGTTGTAATTTCCCTTTTGATTGCACAAGGGTGGACACAAGTCCTTCAGGAATCAGTCAGGGCAAACCAATGTTCTCAAGAAAGTCACGCCCAAACTTTTGGCCACTGCAGGCCACACAACCCCTGATAAAGGCATACTTAGTGTCTGCTTGACACAGCTCCTTCCTGGTGCATAACTAGAGACACGAGACTGCACAGTAAAGCTGGCCTACACAGACCTCGTGCAGACCATTTCAAAAGCATTAGAGATACTATGAGTACACTGATTAACAGCACAGTAGCGACTCTACTGCTTTCAATGATGAACAAGCACTACACAGCACATCTGCACTTACCTTCATCTAACAAATCCTATTGCGCTCCAAAGGGTCCTGTGCAAGATGGAACTGGCTGTTATTGCCAAAGCAATTAATCAACCCTGAGCGAGCCAGCATTAGCCTCAAGGCATGGTAACAGAAGGGTTCCCAGCTCCAATGAATTGCTGACCATTGGCAGCCACCTCATTTTCTCATGGCACTGTGGTCCCTCCTTGTTTACATGCAGAAGTGTGGTTTTGTCAAGGGAAAAGGATGGGTTTCCCCATATTTTAACTGCAGGATACAGGAAGAACTATGCAGTCTCTCCAGGAACCTAAGAAAAGCATCTAAGACCTGCCCATGCCTGAAGGAAGATGGGAGTCTGCAAGCTGGCCATAGGATGCCTGAACCATCCAGGCTCAGCTTGAGCAGCAGGTCCGTACGGCTGCAGCAGAAAGTGTTCCCTTCTTGCTGCAATTATGCTCCCCTTGGAGTGTTCTCTTACTCCTGAAGGCAATCGAGTCACTACTTCATCCAAAGCTCTTCTTCAAGGAATTTAGACCACTCCATCCAGCACCACTCTTGACATAGAAGACTTTTTGCTTTTGAAATGTCTTATTTAGCACTGTGAAAGCAGTGCCAGCAGGGAAAATGGTAGCTCAGAGTACTTTTAAGTGGATTCCCAGGTTTTTGCTTTGACATCATTAGCATACATGCTGATCACAGAAACAGTAACTGAAGCCATTAAGAAGGGTTGATGTTGTATCCCTTCAGGGCAGACAGAAGTTCCAGTCACAAAAGCCATCACACATTACATCTTCACTACACCAACAGAGAGAAGATGAGCCCAAGGAATGCATACCACCACATCTTTAAAGACAACCCCTATGCTGAAGCAGTTAGCCACTCTTCTATGGGGCTCAAAATCAGGAACTCTTTTTTAGAAAACAAATCTTTTACGAATTTGAACCTTAATTCTAAATGTATTAATGAATGCATTTTCTGGAAATGTTAACATAGTATTTTATATAACAATATGCATATAACGTAAAACTCCAGAATACTATTTCTTGCAACCTGGAATTAAGATTTATTAATTTATATTTTGGAATTTTCTGCCTTTTTGACTTAATGGTAGGGTGGGGTTTTTTTTAGAAGTGATACTTCATTACCTCAAAGAAATGCTCAGTGGACATAACCATATTTTTCTAATATTCATTAATTTAAACTATGGTCACCAGAAATAAATGCATTCATTATAATTCATAAATAAACATGCAAAGATTAAATAAACACCCAGATAGGAACTATGGAATCACTAATGTACAAGATCACTCCAAATTTCCATTCATGTAATGTCTTGGTTGTTTTCTCACATCACTAGACAGCCTACATAGCTCAGCCCTCTGAACCTTTGGGTTCATGGGACAATGGAGTGAATGATGCTCGAATCAGTCTGTTCACTCTTCATTAACTCCTGGGCATCTGTGCCACAAAATCAAGCCTTGCACAGGAGCATCTGTCAGTGCCTTCCCACTGCTTGGGTCTGTCAAACCTGAGCTGCTCAGGAAAGTTCTGCAGTGCACTCACACCATAGGAGGAGCTGAGAAAACAAATGCTGGAATAGCAGCATTGACACTTCCTAATCTCCTGAGCTGCTTTAAATCTTAAACCCAGTCTACCCTATCTCATGAGTATCACAAAAAAAGGAAACACCTACAAGCACCACTGGCTGACTCCTTTCAATGCACTCTGCAGCAGCACTAATCTTGAGTCCATATTCTTAATTTCCTATAGCTAATTTTCCAACCAAAATCCTGTCCATGGGCAACAGGTTAGACATCCTTCCTTACCATAAAATCATGACAACTAAGCTAAAACTGTTATCTTTCTTGTATACATTGCTCTGGTTCAGTGATGGAAACACTCATTTGCTTCTCTTCTATATTTGTTGCTTAGAGCATTTTAATTTCAGACACTTTCAGCATTATATAATGCTTCACATCTAAAAAAACCCACAGAGAACTTACAAAGCATTGTATTTTATCTAAAAGGATATTTATCATTATTTTATTTATTCAAAGAGTTTCTCTATAGACAAGTTACTCATCAGCATTATGAGAAGAAAAATCCAAATAACAAACCAAGTGTTTTCTCAAACTAGAAACCTTTTTAAAAACACATTGAACAAGTTATCACCTCTGCAAATGGATTTTTAACAGAAGTGATTGTGTTGGAACAGCTCACCAATTCAGAAGAAAAACACTAAACACAGGTTCTTGTGTTAATGCAAAAATGGACTCAGTCACCCAGCAGGTGTTCTTTCTCTTTAGGTGAACCCTCTCAAATATAAATGAAGTGGGAAAAAAAATAGTTACCTGTCTGATTAAGCAAATTAGCTGATCCTTCCAAATTAGACCATCCTTCATTGTCATATGCAAATCTAAAAGGCCAGATCATAGCAGAGAAGTCTCGTTTTGGAACCTCAAAAAAATAAATCGAAAAAAGTAAAGTGCAATTTAACTTTTATGTATTATAGCTTTTCAGCCAACAACATCAGATACATGGTGCCATAAAAGACATGCAAGAAGAGAAGTTTTAACCAACACATTTTCCTAATAAAGATGTCAGGATTACAAAAGAGTTAATCTGCTATTAACAAGTGGAGGAGAGTCATCATAATTAAAATGTATTTGCAAATAAATGAACATGAAAGAGATTATGGATTATTTTGTCTTTCTAAGAGTAACTAGCCACTTTTTCCACACTATAAGAACCACAAACCTGAATTAATTCTAAAAAGAAAGCCAATTGTATATGTCTGCATGCATGTGTGAATCTAACACTAAACTTTGCAAGCCTTAAGCATCTTGTTACAATCATCGCAACACATAATTTTTTGCCAGGTAGAAAACTGGAATCTTATGATTTTTATCCAATTTCCATAACTACTCTAATCCAGGTCAACCAACTTTTCAGAGAGCTTAGATTCAGAGTTATGCATATAAATATAGAAGCACAGAATTCCTTCATCTGGAAGGAACCTCAGAATGTTATCTGCTCAAACTTCCCTGACATGAGATCAGGCTGCTAACAGCATTGTCAAGTCAAGTTTGAATACAACTAAAACAAATAAATTTATAAAAGTAACATTCAAATTTAACATATGAGGCAAGAATCTCTCATTTTTTCAGAATATTTTTTTCCTTCGCAGCAGCACCTTAAATCTCCAAAGACCCAAGCATTTCCCATGTTCAACATGAATTTACAAATTAAATTTTTGCATTTTCATTTTTGTGTTAGTTTTTCTGATTATTTGGATACTGGTACAAAGACCTCTTCAGCACCGATTAACGCACCTGAAGTATCACATGCTGTATATATTTTACTGTATATTTGAAAGTTCCCATTTTTGCAAACATACTACTCACCCCTTGGCCCAGTTTCTTCCGGTAAGTTTTATAACGTAAACCCAGTCCAAGCAAACCAACACCAACAAACAGCCACAAGACTTGAAATAGAAAAATACAAAAATTATGTTTTTAAAGCAAGAAAAAATAACATTATTGTAGTTAGAACAGGGTACACTGTTACTCTAAGGTGCGCTATTTATAAGATGAGAAATGTGTACATTTAAATTTCAACATATGCCAGGGACAACACCAGTCCAAGGTAGTGTACTTAAGAGTATCTAAATGCATCCAGAATATCTGTATGTGTGCAAATACACTTACATTCTCCAAAACACAACATGCTGAACAGATAAAATATACCAAAACTCTTTGAAATAGTTACGTAAAAACTGTGTCTGCTGAAGAATTTGCTACAGCAGATGAGTAAGAGGATCATGTAAACCTTTCAGTGTTTTCCTCTCTGTGTTGCAGGTATGCATTTGTAGTACACAATTTTTATTTTGGATTAATACAATGCATGGAATAAAATTTAGTTTACTTTGCAAGCCTTTATATGTCAAAAACGTGATTCCTGCCAGACTTCCAGAGTGATCATTTGTTTGACATGTTCCTGGAAAGGCACTTTGTCTTCACAGAAAGCATATTCAGAGTTTTCCCACTGCTCCAGTAGCCTTCCAAATAAATACAGTGGACACTTAAGAGCTCTCAGCATTTGGTACATTCTAATTTGATGATCAAAGCCCTTCTCAGTTATTTCATTTATGCAATGACATATGCTCTCTACAATGACTTCAGTAACTCCTGTTTATTGTTTAATAACTTTAAGCACTTATGAAATTACTGTAATGCAAGTTTTCTGGAACAATTTTGTGTAAAATTTCAATAAATATGATAATGGATTATGTCAGAAGAAAGGACATGCTGTTTAAATTAGCACATGTCAAGTAATTTCATACTCTGCAAGACGCAAAGGTGCTTAAAGGGGAAGCTGAGAAAAATTACAAGTCTGGGCACGATGAGGAAGTACAAGAGGTATTGTTGTAACGTCACCAGATTAGCTGAACAAGGGCTGTACTTTGTGACAAGGAGTATTTTGAAATATTCAATCACTTTTGTGAAATGTTTCTGAGCAGCAATATTCAAACCACTTGAACTGGTGTTCTCATTGCCTCTGACACACAAACTCTCACGAGCCATATTCTTCTGGCCCCTGAGTATACAGGGTAAAGTCGTCCATAAAGATTCCAGAAACAGCCCCGAAAAGTTTTTAAGTGCTATTGTTTCTGCTTTCTAAATGCAGCAAAATGTACACAAATGGCAAGTGATTTGATACAAATCACAGAAGAAAAGATCCGGAATTTGAACCTTCATCATCCTGATCTCTGTAGGGTTAGTATGCCCTAATATTTAGCAATTTTTTTCCTTTACCAAACTTCACAATATTGACACATGTTTTTCCTTAAAAAAAACAAGCTAACAATGAAAACAAAAGCATCATTTATATGAATCCCTGAGGTTTAAAAACCAAAAAGTAGTAAAACCTCATACATTTGATTTTTGTTTCTCTTCAAAACCCAAGGAAAAAAAGCATATATACAATCTGGAAAGCTGGGATCCCCAGGCATAGTTCACAGGCAAATGAGGACAAGGATTTCCCGAGCATAGGCCTGCTCTTAACACGAAGAAAAGCATCAAGATTGTATTGTGATATCAGCCTCAACAGGCTTTGCAGGACTACCTCCTCACACAAGGAAGTGTGTCACATTACAGAGCAGCTCTTGGGCCAGCCAAGTCCCGTCACACTCCCAGCCAGCTCACACAGCCTTAGGAAGGCTATCTCACTGAACTGCTTCAAAAACGACATAAAAAATGGCCAAGAAATTATTCCTATCTTTTGTGTACTCATTGTAAATCTCAAGATCCAGAGAGGCCTCTTCCTCAATCTCTAAAATAAAAGCACAAATGCTGCTGAGTCCAACCCATTTACACATTTTGTTTTTTGCCTGGTTTTTGGTCTCTATTTAACACACTCCATCAGGAATAGCTTCTCTCAGTTGTTATCACATTGAGTCAGCTCCTCCAGTAGAATATGTCATCCTTAAACTGGAACCAGGGCAATACCAACTACAAGTCTGTCTCTAAAACTAGCAAAAAAACCCACATTTCTAAAACATCTGAGCAAAAAGCTCCACAGTGTTACTCTTTTCCCTCAGACAATATCCCTTCAGTCAGGGAAAAAAGGAAGTAAATTTATACTTACATAGTTTAATATAGTTTTTAGTCTTTTTGAATAGTGGCTTTTGATGGCTTTTCACTTCAAAGGTAGAGCTAAGGTCTTTCTTGGGTCCTGTTAGAAATTCTAGCCCAATACATAACATGATAAAACCTATAAAAATATAAGTATTCAGTTTTTTCATAGAGCCTTAATACATTAAACATTGCTCATAAACACAACACTTATAAACTTCCAGCTTACGAGACAACAACTTTATGGCTCCAACAACAAAGATGATTCAAAGCACAAATGCAGATAACTGCCATACCTAATGTAGCAATGCAGGACATATAAGATTATTGACAACACTCTCAAGCAAAGACTGATTTGCAGTATAGTTCCAGGGTATTATGTAAAAAGGCTAGCACAAGTTAGATAAATCATGCTAAAATCCTTCCAGGCCCTGTTGATGGATACAACTCCCAGCTCAGTCCACTGTTTTCAAAGTTTACTGAAATCAACCTGGACAAGAGCAATTAAGTTACACCCACATATTACAGAACCTTAAAATAGCAGCTTTATGAAAAAATACATTGTTGATTGTAGATACGTTTTATCTACAAATTAACTGCTCTGTCACCAAGATAAAAGTAACACATTTTTTGTGTAAGAACTACAAAAGCAATTGCTCATTGATTTGTACTAAAACAGCGTAAGCACATTGCAGCAGTTGGAAGGCCAATTTAACATGGCAGCAACTTGTATTCTTGCACTCCAGGGCAAACAAAAACAGCTCTGCATTTTAGGAATAGGCAACTAAACACACATGTAGATACATTTTAAAAACTAATAAACAACTTCATGCACTAACTGTTGCATTGCATTGAAAAGGTATCTTTTCACTAAGTAGTTCAGACTGTTAGTACAAGGTCTTTTCCAATTCCTTATGAGATAAAGGATCCGATTACCTTCAAAGAAAACATGGGAGGATAATGAATTGCGTAAGAGCTCTGCTGGAGAAGATATATGTCCTTAATATCTTTGGGGCACAGTTAATTGACTATAGAAGCAATGTTTTACTTCAGAGTTATAGCTGATGATGAAATTACTATTACTCAGTATTTTTTTATTGCCCTTACTTGTTACATTAGTTGTAGTGAAAGTTTGCAAACCAAGCTAGGTCTAGAGCAATGATGAAAGGGGCGCACACAAACCTTCCTCAAAGGGAGACTGATTCACAGCCATTAAAAGAATCTGACCCTCAGCATTATATCACATCACAGTAAAGCAGCACAGAAATTTTGAATATAATGATCTTACTTCCACTGTCAGTTTTCCTGGTGCAGCTCCCTACCCAAACTGCAGCAAGAGAAAGGCAGGATATTGGACAGGAGGAGAAAGCAAGAAATAGCAATTGCACCTGAAAGAAACCAGAAGAAAACAAGCAGTTCGCCAGAAAGCCAAACTGTAAGGGTAGAAGCACAGCAACAAATACGTAGTCTCATGGTATAATTTTCAAATCTGTGATAAGCAATGGAATGGCATTAAAAAGACTGGATTCTCAGATAGAATTTAAACTCATGTAGTGTCATCAGCTGAGATGGGTTTAGTTTGCAGATTTCATTTTACCAAAGAGAAAGTTAAGGCCATCTCTGTGTTACTACCTTGTGATCATGCCATGTAAATTAATCACAACTGTATTTCAAAGGAAGCAACAGAGAGGGATTTTATATAAAAGCTTTCCTTTGTCACAGCATTACTCAAGAAAGCATTTGACACTCCTCTACCACATGCTTCCTTCATATAACTTCAAAGAATAAGATTTAATTAACTAAGATACTGTTTCTACAGACCCCCTAGAGTTCTTTGAGAACAAAGAAAATAACGCAATAATGGAATGGAACTTTCTTCAAAACATAACAAACTGAAATCTCTCATGCCATTGATGTAATATAAGAAATGCTTATAGAGAGTAAGGAACTGGAGTGACAGAAAGTGGTTGCAAAAATAGTTATGAAATCTAAAACCAGTGGAGCAACAAGTCAAGCATAGCATTCATTAATCATTTCCAAACAAAATACAGGCTCATACATCACATTTTAAAATATGCCACATAATTAGCTCAAGACAATGTTTGACATTGTTTAAATATAGTTAGTGAAATATGTTATTGAAACACTTTAGTACCTATTGAGAAAATAATTCTGGAGACAAAACCAGGAAGGGTTGGTTTCATTTCCATCTCTCCACCCTCAACAAGTGATCATTTGGCTAAAGCCTTTATATTTGCTCAACTTGATTTTTCCTCATTTGCAAATACCTGACAATTTTTTTTCTTTCTCTCCTGTTTGCATGTCTCTGACACTGCAGGCTCAATTACATTCCTCCAAACATGCTGGTGTGTCCACAAAACGTAAGGTAGAGCCACACAGAAAAGAATCTCAGGTCTCAAATGTAGATCAGCTAGATCAGCAGGATGATACACTTTGCTCTTCAGAGTAGGACTTCATAATGCACTGAATTATGTCACGGTCCCAGTAACTACATTGTTACCTGAGATACCATACTGCTACTTTGGGTAGCTAGCATACAGGTGCATTCACAACCTGGATTGCAGCCAGGTTTTAAGGGTGACAACAGATCTCTTCCTCAGTTGCTTACTGAGTTATCAGACATTTTTTCACTTCATCATTTTCCCCCAGCTGAATTCCATTTTTTGTCCACATTTTAGACTATTTCTAACAGTAAAGAAACAAGTTGGTTTTTTTTTTTGCATATCTCATTAATTTTTTCATTCTTACCATAGTAAATCTAACAGCAACTGAGCATTTGGAAAGACTCTTTATATGCTAGCTACATTTCACATGTCTGGCTGAGGCTAAAACAAGTGTATTTGTATTTGTTCATAATCAGAAATGTACCTAAAAGAAGATGGGAGCTTTCTCTAATGTAAACTCCTCCAGGTACAAATTTATAAGCTGTACACCATACACAGAAGAATAATTCAAGAACATAGGCAAACATGGCTGTACTCATGGCTTTCCCAGGATGCAGACAGCTAGCAAAGCGTCCAGCTAGATGAGGCCACACAGACATAGTAAAGACAGCAAGAATGTTGCCTGCAACAGCAGCACTCCAGGTGTGTAAATAAAGAAGACCAGCTGAAGATGCCAAACCTGAGAAGGTATAGAAAAGAATATAGTAAGTCTCAGTCATATTATCTGCCACATTCATTTTCACATTCTGTCTGGGAAAAAAATACAGTCTGGGAAATATAACTGTTCTTTGCAGCCATGAAAACTGCATCACTAGGATTTCACAATTGCCAAAGACAGCCTCTTACTTTTCCTAACATCCCATTTTTTTAAAGATTGCTTAGTCAGCTGAAAACAGTGCAGCAAAAAGACAGCAGAGAAACATCATCAAGAGCCAAAACTAAACAGTTTTTCTTACATTGAGCTCTCCCAGCACAACAGAGGGATGACGCACTCTTTAAGACAGTATCAGATTTGCCTATTATGAACCTCCTTTACCATAATAAAGAATCAAATAGGTTAATATGAAGAGCAAACGTATCTTTCCCTGATCTTTTTTCCCTGTAGATAACCATATAAAGGTTAGGCAAGAAAACTATTAATCTTTTACTAACCCCAAGAGTTTTTATTTCCCACACTGTCTTTGATATGGGAATTCAACCCCAAAGCGAATATTAACAACCACACAAGCTCTCTATAACAGGACAATTTCATTTTCAAATGTTACTGCAGGTAAGAGTGTTTCACAGTCTCATAGCAAATGTATAGAAATGCTTTTAATATTTTACTTATACATCAAGGCTCTGAGCATTTTAAAATACAATGGCTGAATCAACTAAAGAACCATTCTGTACCTGTTTTAAATTAGTGATGTGTGTACATTAAAAAACAGATGCTCATACTCACATTATAATCTGCACACACATTTCTTAAAACTAACACCTACACCAGAAGGTAAAATGCCCAAAGGGACAACCAATGGTTTAAGCATTGGCAACTCTTGTGCCTTCAATGTGACACTCCTAATATTTGGTATTTTATTTTGATTCCTGACTAGGAGAAACTCAGTTTATACTAAATTTCTTGCCTTCAAGGTTGTGGAAAATGACTTGAAAGTGCACTCTTAAGTGCTCCAAAACAGAAGGTGAATGAGAAAAAAAAGACAAAAACGTAATTCATCATTTCGTTTGGTCACCATATTTTATATTCCTAATTTATGATCAAACATTTGTAGGAAGACCTGCTGTGTCTTCTTTATATAAAGATCTAAAGGCCAAAAACAGAAGCAGATTTAGAGGGTTTTTAGACAGCATTTATACCACTATATTTCACTCAGATGGGATGACAGATTAAACCAAGCAGCATCTATCCATCCATGCTGAGACAGCATGAAAAACACATCTCTCCACAGTTCAGGAGCAGAATTATTTTCATCTCCTCCTACTTGCTCCACAGCATAGCTATACTTTTCTCCTGAAAACGGATGCCCAGATCCAGTACTTGAATCCCACTTCCCACCACCTAAGACCCACTGTATGCAGACTGATTTACAAACATATTGCTCCAGTAGACAGCTTTGATGTTCATATTATTTTATTGCCTGGAGATCTTGAAAACTAAGAAGACAGGAGGCAAGCTTGCCTCCAGATGAAATGCACACTAAATTACAAGTTATTTTGCCTCCTGTAGAATTAAGAGGTTTGTGTCACCTTAACCCCATAACCACACATGTAGCCTTATCATAGAATGACTAATGTTGGAAAAGACCTCTAAGATCATCAAGTCCAATGCGTTATACGATGCAGATGGTCAGAACTGAGACGCTGCTCAAGGGGCTTCTCAACAGGGGCTCCTCAACAGGGGTTTCTGCAGAGAGTAACACTGCTCTGCAATGACCTGGAGACTTGGCCTATAGTCCTTAGTCAACTGGTCAGACATATGTATACAGTCAGTGACATATGTGTCACAGTCAGTGACAGAGAAAAGGAGGCTTTGATTAGTCACACTTTTCTGAGATGTGGTGTAAGGTCAGAGGACTTGAGTAAAAGAAATAAAGTAACAGAAACAAAAATTCTGCTCAGGATTTGCACCTACCTATGAGAAACCAGGCAAAACTGATGAGAGAAGACCAGCTCCAAAATGAAAGCATCAGTCCCTGAGCCAAACCCAACAGAACTGTACCTCTAATACAACAATAAGGAAAAAGAAATCACACATGAATACGATTTTATAAACATCTGGCACTCAAAAAGAAACTTCTAAACATGGGCAAGGATGTTTGGTAATATTTATAATCCTTTTACTTTAAACAGAGCTTAATTTGAGCACAAAACACCTTTACTTCACACCCTGCTATATTTTCTCCCCTCTGTAAAAAACCTCCAGTTGAAAATAATGGCAGTTTATTGTAAGGTATAAGTGAGCTATGCTCAGCACCAGAAGCAGCCCACTGAAATCCTGAGAACAAAAGGCAAAAACAACCCAGAGAAAATGAGAGGGAGGAATCCAGTGCAAAAAGAAGCATTTTCTTCACATCAAATAGGGGATCCTAGAGCATCTAACATTGCTACCAGTCTTGGGTAGCTCTTTTGTATACCATCTCCAAATTATAAACTCTTTCACCTGCCATTCCACATAATGGACTCAGAATAACTAATCTGGTCTCTTCCTAGGTTTTGGAACCCAAGTGAACAGCACACAGCATCAAGATTACAAACGTCTACAGAAGCGTATCTCTTAATATTGCACACAGTTTATTTATGTGCATGCATCTCTGATCATCTCCTTTCTGAAGTCAACTGCTAGACTAATTACTGCCTATAATAGATAGACTGCATTCATAAATCCTTGAATCTCAATCCTAATCTAAATATTATTTTGCAATGTGGCAAATCAAGATTTTATTGCTGAAAAAAAACATTCTGTATTAGAAAATTTTAAGATTTCATGGTCTAGACACAATGCTCAGAGCTATCTGAAAGCTAGAATAAATCTACAAGGCCTCTGTGTGAATTATCTTGTATCCACTTTTTTCTATTTAAATTATTATACCATCATCTGGTTGAGTTTTAATTCATCCTCCACTATAGCACTGGCTTTTGAGAACTGTTTTGTTTAAATAATAATAATAAAAATCCTCTTACCCATGTGGATTAGGATCTGGACCTGTATGTGGATGTCCACTTACTGCCCATCTAGAAATTAATGAGACCTCCCCAAATATCCACAGGGTGAGGAACATGAGGCTGCCAAAAGCAACCCCAGATAAAAGCCAATAAGGATGGGAAGCAGTCTCTCTAACCGCATTACCAGTTTTGTTTGCTTCTTGTTTCCTCCTGTCTCCACCTAGAATAAGCACAGAAATGCAGCTAAGCAAACTGTCAAATTCCATTAGCAAGAGTTACTGAGAAAAAGAAATAGCCAAGATCACAAAATTACCAGAATAAATTACAGACACAAAAGCTAACTTATCTGATCATTCATGGAAATTGATAACACAAAAAAAAATTCAAAGTCTCTAGTAACAATCCTAGGTCTGCCAGGAAAAGCTACTCACAGTAAGTGTTCAAAAATGGCAACCGGCACATTTGATTATTCTTCATAATACTGGAATTTGAATAATTAAATTGGCTTTGAAAATCAGAAGAAAAGTTATTGGAATTTGTTCAGAGGATTCCATTCTCTGAAACTCTAAGCTCTGATAAGAACAAAACCCGACACTTCCAAATAAGCCAGAACTAAACTCCCTTCCTTCTCCTTTTTCCAGGCACTGTAGATCCTCTCTCATCTAAGGAGAAAGCAGCAACACCTTTAATTGCATAGACATATCACTTTGTCATCCACAAAGGAGACATATTTCCTTCCTAATCTCTTGCAGTAGATTCCCTTTCTAAATTCTGATGAAAGTTCAGGCTTAATTTATGTTATGTAATGCAAGTCTACAAACAATATGCATGATGATAATTTATACCCACTTACACATAGATAAGGTTTTATCTTTCAATTAATTAATTCAGGTTATACTGAGAAGGAAGGAGCTCCTGAGGATTTAACATGAGCTGCCTTAACTAACCAATTTAACTAACCTCACTGTCTTCCTTGGCAATACCACCTTCACAGTTTTTAAGTGAGCTTAGCCTATGCCAGCCCCCACTGCTGTGTACTCTGTCCAAACACTTCAAGAACTCAGGCAAATTTTGACCAGGACAACTTGTCCGCTCTTCCAATACTTTCTGTTTATTTTGACACATCAGCTGTTCCCCAGCTTTGTCCGGTCTCCCCTTCTCTGTCAAAAGATATGCACTGGCAGAGAAATTCAAAGTGCAGACTGAATTAAGAAAATAAGAGATACCACAGATGTTTCATGATGGAATGACAATGACCACCCTGCTTTTATTGGTCTAGCTTATGCCTTTGTTTGTGTTACTGTCACATTATTGACACTGCAATTAGTCCACAGTTCCAACACCAACTTACTACAGCTTGTATGAATTGTGATACCAGTTCTGACATGTTATGGGTAGATGGAAGTACCCCATGGCTTCTAAAGCTCATGCATCAGGTCTAAAAACAGACTCTATACTGGGGGAAAAAAATCAACAAATCAAAACCCAGTGGCACATAGATAAGTATACTTTAGGATGTTTTCATAGCTGCCATCTTTGTTGTAACATGCTTACCTGAATAAATTCGCTCCACTGCTGCTATAAAACCTATTATCATAATGACAGTATTGGCAACCTGTGAGCTCCAGACTGGGTTTAGTGATGTGTACCAGATGCGAAGAACAAGGAGTATTATCTTGCCTAGCATGAAGCCCCATATCCTGATGAACCTGTAAGAATCAGCTTTTGAAATAGTAAGGCATTCGGGGAAAAGAAAAAAATCTTAACTTCTGGGGGACAAAAAAGAAAGAAAACATCTTTTAATACAAGGAAATGTCAGTTCCAATCTCATCAGAATAAGAAAATACCTTTGTAAACTGTTTCCTGACCACCACGTTACTGTTTGAACCAGCAATGAAGAAGAAACACCAACAGCCAAGATGAATAGTCTAATTGAAGCATTTGGTGCCTGGTATGATGCTAAGCTTCCTACAAAGAAACACACACAGACAGAGATTGTTTTAAGGGGCAATAGAGATCAGGTAATAAGGACTTCCTGTGTATTAGTTCAACCTTGTCTGTAATTTGAATAGCTACACCATTCATCTGAAAACACATGACATTACCCATTTTTAAACAAAGCAAAGAAATGTAGGTATGGATTGCAAGTGAGTATATATGACTTTATAGCAGTTATCACTTTCAAGGAAAAAGATAAATGAAGCAATTATCCAACAGTGCAGTGATTGCCTTAATTTAAGTACTTATGGTGATTGATTCCATAAATATGATATATGGATAAAATATCTAAGCATACAGATACTCCTCAACTATGCACTTACATAACTCAAAAGCCATAAAGTTTTATGTATGGTGACTACTCCTTTCTAAAAAGGATATGGCTTTTGCCGCAGTGCACTTTTAAAATAAGTGCACTTATAAAAGTAAGTACACTGTGGCAAAAGCCATATTCTTTATTAGACAGGAGCAGTCACCACACATTGCTCAGGGATTAGCAGGTGTGAACAAGGCTTTCTCTGGCCCAGTATTTGTTCTCAGAGTCGTCACCAACAGCCTGTGTCATCTTATTACTGGAAACTGTCACTCTCCCAGTCACTGAAACAGAGCATGCACACACCAGTTCCCACGGCACAGTGACCTCACCTTATCAGCAGTTTTAGATTCTGCTAGCTGGTTTCCAATTAAAATGACTATGGATCACATACATTCTCGTAACCTCACTCAGTGTGGCAAAATCTGGCCCAGGACCAACATCAAACATCAGGAGAAGCAACACTGTTATGCTACCAGCCATTTGCTAAATGAGTATGAGTCAAACTTGAAGAGATGTTAAGCAAGTAAGGTCAGAAATAAAGCTGCAGATTCTGGCAACACATGCTAGGAGTCCTCCAACTGTCTACCTGCTCATTTGGCTCACAGTAAAAGATACGAAGCTTAGCACCAAGATGATAAACTGAAATCAGTGTGTAGTGAAGATGTACTTGTGTGAACTTCAGCAGAGGTTGCATGTACAATGCACACAGATTTCTGTCGCTAAATTGTACTGGCAATCCATAAACCTGCCTCTTAAATCTTTCATCACTTACACTCCCCTGATTAAAGCTAGCATGAGTTTGCCAACTTACAACAGACACACCTTTTGTTGCTGAGCAAGTACACCCAAAACTTAAATATATCTGTCCAAACACTCAAATTTACTGTGTGTTGTCTGAAGACACAGATTTGAATAGACACTACCAGGGGGTAGTTGGTTGCTGTTTTTTTTTAAATAGAACACAAAATCAAGTACTACGGAATTAAAATTTTCAGAGAAAATAAAGCCTCCTGAAAAGGCAAAAAGAAACAAACAAAAAAAAACCATGCCCCTAAATATGGTTTTAGCTAAGCATGAAGAACTTTCAGATTTTTTGATTGTGAAATTTAGGACTGAGTATTTCCAGTGGAATGGGGTGGAGCATGCGTGGGGTAGATTGTGCTGCCTGATTGTTCAACAAGCCCCAGAGGAAGGCCATAGCCTTTGTGAGGAGGAAAAAAAGAGATCAAAAAGAGAATGAAATGTCTAGGTATGAAGGTGGGAAAAAAAGCAGGAAGAACTGAGAAACAGGAGAAACAGCAGCACAGTGTGATGGGACAGAACTAACATAAAAGACAAAATGAAGCGATGAGAACTAAGTAAAAAGATATATATGGAAAGTCCTAAAACCCAGTGCTGCCTGTGCGAGGGCATCTGGCTAACTTGAGAACCTGCAGCATGGAGGCAAGTAGAGTGAGGGTTACTACTGGCTGCTAAACTCCTTGGTGGAAACAAAGAGAGTGAGGAACATGCCCTTACATCTTCCACAAATGCTAATGCTCGCTGTAGGGCAACAGGTAAAGAGAATGCAAAGTGTATACAATAGAGCTGGGAGACAATATAGTAGAGTTTCACAAGTAGACTTGTGAAAGGGTGGACAGTATTCAGAGTGTTTAAGAGGTGAAAACAGCAGGTGGATATGGTCACTGAGGGGACAGTTCCTGTTCAGGCAAGAATGAAGGAGAGATGGAATTTGCATACAGCAACACTCAGGTTATCCCTGGCTGAGGATGAGCACAGCTTTTGTCTCCCTCCTCTGAGTTTTTCTATGACCACCTACATTTAGACATTTCTGCCCCAGATTCTGGGGCTCATTTCTGCTACTGAATGAGCTAACTTTTTATTTGGAGTTAATACTTTCAGGAGCTTCTGATGCAGGTGAAGCAAACAGGCATGAACCAACAGACTTTACACACCATTATAAGCCTGTTACTGCTCTTTACTTAGCAGAACAAAAATTACACTCTTTTAGGTGATTTCCATCTCTTTTGGTAAAGTGAACTACTAAACACAGCAAGGCGATCTGAAGGACTAATCTTAAATAAACATGGCAAATTTTGTGTCACTGTGACATCTGAAGGGATGCAGGGTGCAATTTTAAATGCTTCCACTCATTACTAGTTTTTAAATTAGAAAATCTTGCAGAAAGAGATATACTGAGCACTGCTGCAGGAAGCTGAAGTAGAAGATTCTGCTCACTTAAAAGCTTATTACAGAAAAAAAAAAGGTATTAGGATGGATAAAATGGGAAGAGTAGGAAAAGAACATGGTAAGACTATTCTTAATCTAAATCAATGACACCAACAAACTGCCTTCAGTTCCAGTATCTTTCTAGAGATAAAGAACAAGAATTCTTTTCAAAAAATATGTAGAGAAAGTAAATAAGATGATCTTATTCTGTCTTCTAACAGTAAAAGAGAGAAACTATAAGGAAAACGATTCCCTGATTATCATTTTAGATTAACAAATGAGGAACCAGGAACTGCTGCTTCTGAAACACATCACTCAGCAGCAGTATTTTCATCTCTACACAGGGTGGAGACCCTTGTCTCCCCTGAGTTCATCCAGGTGTGGCAAATTAGTTAGCAATAACTTGCTTCTGAATACAGCTGTAGGTGCCAAACCTTCTCCCAACAAATTTTCAGAAAATCAACAAAAGGTAAGATTTGCACCAGTTAGTTGAAGACCAAAGCATGAATCCCACCAAATCTTCATTTTAGTAGGAGTGTGTGGGATGGGTAGCAGGGCAGCTTTTTCCTGAATTTAAGATCACTTTTTTCCTGTGCAACTGACAATATAAGTCATTTCACATTTAGGATGGGCCATAACCCCATCAATATACTACAGGCATCTACATAGATTTAATTTAAAAATCTATTCTTAGAAGAAAAAAAACTGCCTCAGAAACTAAGTCTACCAAAAAGAATGTTTCACTCATAGCAGATTACTTTTATAATAGCCTCAAGATGATGTTGTCACAGACACAGAACTGCTGTACAAAAAAACACCTGCTCTGCTGATCTCTGTGTGATACTGAAAACATCTTTCCTACTGAGTGTGACTTATACTAATTTAAAAGCTTCTAGAGGTAGAAGTGAAAGGAGATTTTTCTTTAATTATGCAGCAACCCAACACAATGGCTGTAAGCAATAGTCCTCTAAATATAGCTAAAAGCTTGAGAGAAAAAATCCCAACAAAACATGAGTATGGGGAGAGTGAGAACTTCTTATTGCTGTCTCTTTTTGTAATCATTTGAATTTTAAGGCAATTTGGAAGGTTTGTTCTTATGCCTTGATAACAAGATGGAATCTATAACTCACTACAGTGTGTACTTACCAACCATAGTCAATCTCAGAAAGACTAAGATGTACTTATTGTTAGCCAACCTCCAAAAAGGGCCAATTGTCAAGAATATTGGAGAAAAGAAAGCAACAGCAAAAACTTCTAGGCCCGTGAGTGCCAGTGTCTGAAGGGGGAAGTAGTAGATCATCGGTGGCAGTGCATGGTAAAGAGACCAAGAAATGTAGCCTGAAAAAAAAAAATCAAACAACAACAACAACAAAGGAAAATCCCGTCATGTATTTTCAACAGCAAGGTTTCCTGGAGAATACTGAAAAACTATGATTTTGTACTTCCACATGCAGACTATCAAACATATTGGAAAGTAATTCAACAACAGCCATTTTCTGTGAAGAAATATTTGCTATTTCAAGTTAAACAAACACATTTTCCCAGGAAATAAACCAATGAGAATAAAATAGTTCTTCCCCCCTTTAGACAGTAGTTCCTATTTTGATCCTCAGTGAAGGAGTGGTCAGCCTCGGAAAGGGTTACTGTTCGGGGAGATCACTGCTGCCTAAATGAGCAGTCCACCCACAGCCTCAGGGCTCCCCAAAGGCAGATTGGTGGCTAAAGGAATTTTTCTAGTAAAACGGTGTGGTGGTCTCTCCTGGAGACACCTTGTCCAGGCACGCCAGCACTGTGCTATGAGTTTCCACACTCTTTGCAGGAGATGCAGGGAGCAGCCGAGCCGCAGCCCGAAGGGTGTCGGAGTCTGCCCTGAGCGCCCTAACTTTCTCAGGGCAGCACAGCACCGGCTCTGCAACACCTGCTCAACAGTTGGCCGAGGACAGCACTAAATCCTAGGCTGATCCAAGGGACAAAAGGCATTCCATCACTAGAGGAAAAAAAGAACCCTAAGAAGAACACTCAGCAGCGACCACTGTTCGCTCATTTCTAGCGGAGGAGCGTTTCACCGGCGACACCCCGCCACGGTCGGTGACTCCCGCGGCACCGCGCTGGGGCTGCCCCGCCACGGCCGTCGGCCGGTCCGGGCAGAGCCCCCCCGCCGGTGCCCTCAACCTCGGCCCCTCGCCCCCAGCCCCGCGGGGAGGCACCGCCGCCACCTACCCAGGAGACTCTCCGACAGAATGGCCTTCCACAGGGGAAACATCGCGGCGCTGCCCGGCTCGGCGGGGGCTTCCTCTCTCTTCCCGGGAGCCCAGTGCCCAGGAGGGCGCGGCGCCGCCGCCCGTCCCGTCCCGCCTCGGGGAGCCGCGTCCCCGCGGCGGGGGCGGGCAGCCCGCACGGCCGGAGCTTGTTCTTTACAGCCCCGCCACGCGGAACGGCGAGGAGGTCTCGCCCCTTCGCTGACCTGTCAGCAAAGGAGCACTTGTCCACCGAACAGTCACTCCAGCAAGGAAAACAAAAGCAAAAGGTTGTCATCCCACGGGCTGACGGGGAAAAGAGGAGCTGACCCACCTGCTGCTTGTATAAATGCTTGGTTGACTATGTGGGGTTCGGAGGTGTCCGGATTAGTGCTGCGCTCATTTTAGCGAAATGTGTGTTACCTTCTGATAAGCAATGCTGTCTGCAAAAAGCATCAAAAGAAGCATTTAGTTGGCTGAGATTCCTGAGTCGTTACGTTTGCTAGTTTTAGAAGAGATCCTGAGTTAAATCGACAGAGCCATGAGCATAGCTGCCAAGTTATGGCAAAAGGATTACATAAGCAAAATCTGAAATTTAGAATCTCATTTTTGGCATGAAAAGTAAAATTGTAACTAAGAAGTCCTCTTGCTGTTGGAATATGTCATCTTCCTAACTTTTATTAATCTTCATACAGCACCCTATGAAACTGCCAGCTGTATCTTCTCATTTGTGTTAAAACTATTGTCCCATTCTAACTAAACTTCATGGTATGCATTTTCTTTCCTTGTCTTGTGAAACTCCAAATCCATAGGAGTAAACGATGAACACCTGACATACAGCAATAAATTCCAGTCAAAATGTTTGGAACAAAAGTTTGTCCCAGTAGTCTCAAAGTCAAGTGAATCATTTACTCCACAGTATAATGGGGTTTGGCTAGCTACTAAAACTCTGTTGAATTTTGGATACTATTTGAGAACATTTTTTTTAAATGTTCACAAAAGAATTGAAGTATTTTGAGGGAAAAGTCAACCTCACTAGGGGAGGGAAAATGAGATTCATAGATTTAGTTACCTTCTTTCTGTCTTCTCCAAGTTCCATGTCACTAAAGGCATCTTTCTTTTTCTTCATTTAAGAAAAGTCACACCAGAATAGTCACCAAGTTCACTTATTACTGGCTCAGGATTATGTAAGTGATGACACCATTTCATCTTTCTGTGGTGTGACGCAAATGGAACTTGGAAGATGAGATCCTTGGCTAGAGTAAATCTGGAACATGGCTGCTCTTGTAGCTGCATAGGGAAAGTGTGAAGCTCACAGTATGCATTCAGCCAATAAATATTTGAAACAATTTTGCAACACTTTTTGTAATTACAGTGTCTTGCTTCATGGTTCAAGGTGGAGTTCCAGTAAAACTAGACATGGCTGAACTCATGAACCTGACATGCTTGTGTGGCTTCCATCAAATTCATAATGCAATGAAGATAATGCAAATCCTGAGAAATTTAGCCATCATAATCTGGGTGGTCTCTCTGAGATTCTAAGCAACTACTAAGTTTGGCTTCACATGTAATGAAGTGCTGTCCATAGGGCTGACACACATTTAAGCAGCAGAGCACAAGAGGAGAGAGTTTTCAGGTGTAATTTCTTAAATACAAAAGTCAATGCTTACAAGGTGATTCATAACACATGTATGTGTAGGAGTGCCTTTCACTATATTTTTTTAATCTTGAAGCGCCACATGCGTAGCTGATAAAAAAATACAGCAAAAGCAGCTGATCTTTACAGGAATATAACGAAGGAAAATCAGCAAAGCCGAGATAACATACTATACTAGGAGTTTCCACTCACACAAAAAAGAGTATTTTCATTTTAGAATAGTATTTAACATACCCTTACCCTAATGTAGACATACAAAATTAGCTGAGATTAACAGAAAATAAATTTCAGCCCCACAATTATATTGCTTGACAGGGGTAAATCTCTCTAAAGCTAGTGATTGTAAAAAAAAAAATGCTTTTTTTGGGTTCAAACTATTTGGGTTCAAAGTTTTGAAACCCAAAGTAAACACATGAAATTTAAAACAATTTTCAGACATGTGTGAGAAGCTGTCCTTGCATATAGCCCAGCAGAGATGGGCCTGAATAGGCATGATGAAGAAGCAGAAGAAAGTGACAGAAAAATGGAAGAAAAAAAAGGCATAGAAGTATGAGCACACATTAGGATTAAGAAAGTGACTCTGGAAAAACTGGTGTGGGTGAGTTTACAGTTAGGCACCTGTCACACTCACAGTGGAAACACAAACACATGCAGGTTTCTTCAGCCATTTTACTGGCTTCTTTACACTGAGAAGAGGAAATCCCAACTCTTGAACATCTGATAATTGTCAGATCTTCATTTCTACTAGAAGATAAGCCAGACCAAGTGTAAAATAAAAATAAGTACATCCAAGGACCAGCCAGGACATAGAAAACTTACATGATTTCTTGTATGTAGTGAGGACAGTTTAATGTTTTACTTAGAGGTACGTTGACTGTTTCCTGCTGCGATGTTTCATGTCTTTTCATTCACCCTTAACTCCTACTCTTATTAGCATGAGAACAATATCCTATAGTGTAATTCTTACTTAGTTCTCCATGCTCTAAATGTTTCTGTGACTGATACATTTTTGTAGCTGCACTGTGCTTCCATTACTCCAGGTCTTCGTTTCTCAGGGAATTTTTAAGCAATTAATGATCTGTTTAATTTTATAATGGACAAATAACCATATTTATGATACGTTCCTCCTTCTCTCATGTGCTGCATGTATACATGGGGTGTTTCTGTTAAATACCTGCACTGCGAAGGCTTTGCCTTTGGTGAATGTAGTGAACCTCAGGACCCTGGCAACCCTCCAGTGTTTTCTAAGAGGTTTTTCAGACAAGCAGCCAGAACCTGCAAACCTTCCCTGAGTTTGTGAAGTCTCCTTCTACTCTGATAGCAGAAAATTCCTCAGCCAAACATTCAACTCTATAATGGTTGTTTTATTTTTGGTATCTCTTGGGTTTTTTTTCTTTGATATGTAAAGTTGGTTTCATTCTGGGAGGGGTAAGAATTTCTCTTTTGGTTTGTATTTATTCTTCTGAATCACTAACATTTATTGATTTCTGTCCATTACCTCTCTCCATTTTTTATAACTATGAAGTACTTTCAGGTAAATTTTGGAAACAAGGAGTATTTGAAGAACATACTCAATTGTGATAACCAACTTTAAAGTTAAAATTAAAAGGAAGTTTAACCCGAATTTTTAATAGGCAATTTTGCACAGGAAGCTGCAAGAATCCAAACAGTCCTGTCCCCAGGCAATCACTATCGCCAGGCACGTATATGCCTCATGAGGAAATTGTCATTCCAGTGCTCTTTCACTTTATGTCCAGTTTAAGCTGTTAAAACTGTTACCAGTTAAGAAGGTTATGAAGTACTCTCCCCACATTGGATTTTCTCGTGTATTGTATTTTTCAGAATACAATGTAGCCAGTTTTACATATGATTTCAAGAATACATTTTAGAGCACATGAGCTATTAGGTACACTTTAAGACTTCTTTTAGGACATCACTTCTGCCCAACCTCCATGTGAAAAGCACATCATGCAGCAGCAAAGCCCAATCCTCTGGTTTGTCAGGCAAGGGTGGGAGAATAGTCTGGTGAAAGGGGCTTCAAGTAGCAAGACTTCTGGAAGCTGAAAGCTTTTTTGGACTCAAGAAAATAAACCATGACTTATGCTTACTATTAAATCGAGATGCCAAAGTCATGTAAAAGGAGGAAGTTTAATGGTGATCTCACAATCTGTTGATTTCATGATAAGTACTGAGGTGTCATATCACCATTTAGGATACTCAAAAACTATTATGTTTCACTGTGAAAAAAACAAAGCAAAACAAAACAGAAATGGAGAGCTTTTTATTAAAGACAAAATACAAAATAAAATTCATGTTTACATTCCTTGCTTTAGAAAGCTTATCCTTAAAGAAGGGCATTGCATTTTTAATTTCAGAGAAAGTGGAACAATTTTTTCAGTATTCCTAGAGGAACACCCCCCCAACTGACATTTTCAGGATAACTTTTTTCTTGCAAAATTATTTTTGATTGATGAAAGTGCCTTTTTTATTTGTTTAATTTTCTTCTTGCTAACATTAAAATTTATTTATATACTTACATAAGCATCACAGTATTAAAATCAAAGCAGATAAGCAGGGCTTTTCATTCCAACATGGTCAAAGTAGATCTTGTCACTTTTTCTTTAAAGAACAAGATTTCATTTCCACAAAAAATATTTTCAATTCATGGGACAGCTTCCAGCACCATGTGTCATACACTGGGCTCCTCACTACAAGAAAGACAAGGACCTACTGGAGAAGGTCTAGTGGAGAGCTAGAAGAATGATTAGGGGTCTGGAGCATCTCTCTTATGAGGAAAGAGTGAGGAAGCTGTGCATGTTTAGTCTAGAGAAGATTGAGAGGGGATCTCATTAGTGCATCAAAATAGCTCAAAAGCAAGTGTCAAAAGGATGGTGCCAGCCTCTTTTTTGGTGGTGCCCAGCGACAGGATGAGGAGCAATGGCCATAAACTAAAACATACGAAATTCCACCTCAGCATGAGGAAGAACTTTACACTGAGGGTGGCAGAGCACTGGAACAGGCTGCCCAGGGAGGTCACAGAGTCTCCCTGTCTGGAGACATTCCAACCCCCCCCCGGACAAGTTCCTGTGTCACCTGCTGTAGGTGACCCTGTCTCGGCAGGGGGGTTGGACCAGATGATCTCCAGAGGTCCCTTCCAACCCTAATGGTTGTGTTAACTTCATTAACAAATACCCTTGCTAAAAAAGCGTGAAGAATTTCATTCAGGAAATAAGAGAACGCGGAACCTTCTCGACGCGCTCGCTGTTCGCCTGCTGGAACAGGCCACGGGGGGGCGAGAACGGCTCATATAGTAGGAGATGCTGGCAGGGCCGAGGGGCCGGGGCGTGAGGGGAGCCAAGCGGGGCACTGCGGGCTGGTCCCTGCGGCCGGCGGCCGGGAGGTGGCGGTGGAGCCCGGCAGCCAGACCAGGAGGTGGCGGTGGGTCGGCGCTGCTCCAGGGCTGCTCAGCCTCGGAAGCCGAGGCGGGCGCGGGGCGTAGCCGGTCCCCGCCCGACCATGGCTCTGGTGCAGCCGGGCCCTCTCAAAGTCTTCCGGGGCTGGCCGGGCCGGGCCAGTTCCTTCCGCTTTCTCTCGCGGCCGGAGAACGGTAAGCGCTGCTTGGGACCGGTGGAGCGCCATCCTCCTGCTTTCTCTGCCGGAGGGGCTGAGCTCCGCGGGGCCAGATTTCTCCGGCGTCGCGGCGGGGGCAGCCGGGGTGTGTCTCTCGGCAGCCGGCCCGGGGCAGGCGATGGCTCATGTGGGGCATTTCCTGACAGCGCAGGGCCCCTCGCCCCTTGTCCCAGCGCCGGGGACGGGCCCCCTCAATTCAGAAAGGACACTGAGGTGCTGCAGCGTGTCCAAAGAAGGGGAACGAGGCTGGTGAGGGGACTAGAGCACAAGTCCTGTGAGGAGCGGCTGAGCGAGCTTAGATCGTTCAACCTGGAGAAGAGGAAACTCAGGGGAGACCTTATCACTCTCTACAACTACCTGAAAGGAGACTGCAGCCAGGTGGGGCTTGGCCTCTTCTCCCAGGCAACTAGTGACAGGACAAGAGGAAATGGCCTCAAGCTGCGCCAGGAGAGGTTTAGGTTGGACATCAGGAAGAATTTTTCCACGGAAAGGGTGATTGGACATTGGAATGGGCTGCCAAGGGAGGTGGTGGCTGAGTCACTATCCCTGGAGGTGTTTAAGGAAGGACTGGACGGGGCACTTGGTGCCGTGGTCTAGTTGATATGTTGGTGATCAGTCAAAGGTTGGACTCGATGATCTCAGAGGTCTTTTCCAACCTAAATGATTCTGTGATGCAGTGAAAGCAATACCCTGTACTGTGCTGTACCCAGGGTGAGGGCACTGAGCAGCTGCTGCGGAGGCACGGCCAGACAAATGTGGAGCGTTCCTCTGCTCCCTGCTGTGGGCACAGGTGCTGGTAGGGAGCTTTTCGCTGAAGACCTAGTGCAGCTGCTCTGTAGACTCTCATTGAAATAAGAGCCTGGATTTAAAACAAAGAGCCAGTTCAGAGGGGTGTGGAACATCATGGTGAATCTTCCCCCGTTCTTCACAACGGACACAGTCCTCAAAGCGCCTTTCTGAAGTCCTTATGAGTTGTCTCAGTGCTGAGTGGTGCTTGCCTTGGGCAGATGTCCAGCGTTCACTGCAGATCACAGTCCGCTGCAGGGACCAGTTAACACATGCAGTTTTGGCTCCCGCCTTCTCTCCCAAGTAACCCTATTATGTCGTCACCATTCCTGTTTGGAAGGAGGGGTCTTGTTGTAAACGGAGTATGTGAAGTTGACAATTCTCACGCGTGAAAAACTTAGCTATCTTCTTGGATACTGCTTCTTTATCATCCAGTTAGAAGTATTGAAACCATGAGATCTTTCAGGAGCCTGATATTAACCTTTTCTTCTGTAGATGAATAAATGATCCATAGGTATTTCAGTTAAAGAGAAGAATAACATCTTTGAGAATTCTTCTTAAGGCAGCTAAGAGAATATACAGTTAATTGTTACACTAAGAATTACATCTGTACGTTGAGAAAACAGTAATAAGTATTACAGAAAGTTACAAGAAAGCTACATTTCTTTAGTAGGTTAATGCAAATAAAGTTATTTTTTGGGATGGCGGTTGTCTTTCCGAGACATAGGGCCTCAAAATACTGGAACACTTTTACATTCCTCAGTCTACTAAGTATGAATATTAATAATTCAGTTACGTAGTATTTTGATGACCTTAACTTTGTCTCTTTGTTTCATTCTTGCCAGTGTAGCTTTCAGCTTTCATCCCATGTAGGAGATGTACCAGGAGGCTGCTTAAAGGTTACATTATTTTTGAGATTCTTTGTTATGTTGAAGCAGTAGCGTAGTTGAATAACTTATGATTCAGGAGAAATGTATGCTGAAGACAATACAGGAGGTAAATGGCAAGCTGCAGATTTTTATAATCTTAGTTTATACTCCTTTGTTTTTTTCTTTTGCTTTATTTTATTTATTTTTCTCCAGTGACTCAGCTTTTTTATCCTTGTGAAAAAGATAAGCACTTTAAATCTATTGCAGCAATTAGAAACTGTTTCCAGTGATTATTTTTATGCAACCATCTACACAAGTAGGTTTTGTGAGTAGATAAGAAAGCAAATAAGAATAAAAAAATTTGATTGATCTTTGGTTGACACAAACCTCTTTAAAGTTTTATGCATTTTTCTCATCTTCTGTGTCCTTTTTTGCATTAAGTGACGAGAGACTGATGGAAATTAAATTGCTCTCAGACTGAGGCAGACAATGTAGAGCTGTGAGCTTTCCTAATGTTATGTCTATTTTCAAACCTAAGTTTTTTCAAAGACACAGTGGTCACTGTCATTTTTGCAAGTATCTGAGAATAAAGTGAAAATTGGTGTGAATGCAATAGTTAATTGACTTTTTTTTTACCAAGGGGAGAGAGGAGGTAGTGTTGCTTCTGTTCCATTATTTAAGCTTTGCTATCTGAATATATAGTGTGTGTGAAGCAGACATTGTTTGAACTTTATAGCTGTGTAACTGACTCCAAGATAAGTGCAGAAAGTGGTTTATATGGTAATATTATGAATGCAAAAAAAAATTAGGTTATTAAATTGTTGCTTATCTTTTCTGTTTAACTCTGCCTTTCACAGTCACTTTGGCCTTGCTCAGTGCCACCATTCTCAGAGTGTGCTTTTGGGAAAGCAGCAGTGCCCTATATGTTGATAAATAAAATGCCAGACCATGCAGCAAAGTGCTAGTTAAAAATCACAGTTTAGAAATAAATGGGATTCCTTCTTGCCTTTCCCTAGTATCCCAATTCTCAGGCATGGAAGATTGCAACTCTAAAACTCTTTGGAATCTATTTATGCTTCTAGATTAATTTTTTTTAAGAGTGTTTGTAACTGGATAGTGTTTTTTGGAAAAATGCAAATGTGGTTTGCAGTAAGCTTGCTTTGTGGGTCCTGTGTAATCCAGACTTTAGATGACAGCAGTGAGGATTGAAGCAGTGCAGTAATTTTGGACAGCACACTAAAGAAGCTAATTTTTTGGCCTGCAATAAAAATTAGAAAGGTTTTAGATGACTTGCTCACATTTATTCTCATTTCTCTATCACTGAGTATGCTGTGTTAGGTCATGATTCAGCATGTTTGTGTTGGGTTACACAGCACTCTGTGTTGCTGATAAGTGATGCACTGTGCTGTGAACTGCATATCAGGTGACTGGATGTTCTCTGCTATCAAAAATACACTCCTTTCAACTTCGTCATTTTGATTTCTAGATGAACATTGAATTTACAGTATCAGTATGATAGTTTGTTCTTTTACCTTTGTACATAGCAGAAAGAGAAGTAGCCGAGCATAAAACGTGGAGCTTTTGGTGAACAAGGAGTACAAGGAAAGAGACAATGTCTTCTGAAGCAGTCCAAGAGAAAAGTCAGACACCTCCAATAAAGCAATCTAAATGGGTAAGCTGGGTTTCCTCCCTTTTATTTTGATTCTATTGCTAGTGAATAACTGGGATTTTGCCTCAATTGCTTTTATTGAAGACAGAAACAGATGTCTGTTAGGTTAAGCATATAAATGAAGAGAAGAAGGGCTATGTGTTATTTTTCCAGGTTCACTATGCTCAGAGGGATAGGAGTTGTGAGTCTTAAGGTTAAGGCCCTGATTTATGCTATGTTAGTTAAACTAGTTATGAACTGGCAGAGCCGTAGTGTGTGAGTACAGGGCCAGTATAACCCATCCCCATCAGGTTGTGCATGTGTGTGTCTGAGTATTCAGAAGGGGAGAAGGGAACAGTACTGCACAAAAATCTGCCCTCCAGCTGTACAGAAGATGAGCGTTTTCCTCCGATGGAGAAATCGAGGAATTTAAATGTGGTACGACCTTGTTGCTAATCAGTCTTTACCAGAGGGCAGCAAAAGTGGGTTTTTTTCTTTTCTGCAAGGAAAGGGGACCTTGGAGTCATGAGTGACAGCAAGGCAGCAAGGGCTGGGACCTCAGGGATAAGGAGCGCAGTCCCACAGTACCCAAAATAGAGGAGGAGAGCAGATCCAATGATGTTGACCGGGGACAGCCTACAGTCAGTTCAGTGATTGTCAGGCCATTCCATAGGAATAAGGCAAGTCTTATGGTATGCCAGAAGATGAAGTTAGCAAAGCAAGGTAAGGATCTTCATGGTAAAGGGCCAGGTACAGGCCCTACAACACAGTTAGGGTAAGGGCCTGTGCTTATATGCAGCTCCTGAGCTGAAGGGCAGAGGCCTTGGGCAAAGCTTCTTGCAGCTCTTTCTCCCAGCTTTGCTGTTTTCACAGCAACCTGATTCAGTGTTACACAACTGTGCCATGTTAGGGCTGACTTTAAACCCAAGCAACTAAACCCCTGGCAGGGTGTGTATGGAGGCAGAAAGATTGCAAAGCCTGTTGGTGCACGTAGGGCCCTGACACTCATTTCCTTACCTTTCACTCAGCCTGTTTGGACTTTACTCTATTTGCTGTGACTTTGCTCTGAAACCAGTTTGGAGTGGTTCTCTACGGTCTGGGGTGGAGTCGTTTCTGTACTGTTTATCCAAGCAGAACTACCATTAACTTCCGTAGGAGCAGTGCTTGAAGAAGGACTGAGATATTAATTAGCTAAAATATGAAACCCGTGGTTGTGGCCAATAAATGCATTTCATTATTATGGTTACAAAATCATGGATCAGTCAGGCATAAAATGAGATAGAATCCTGTAAGAGACAAATGTGCACTTTTTCCCAAGGCACTGCTTGTTCTGTGATGTTTGCTTTTAGGAAAAAGTATGTTTGTAGATGTGATGTTTTTACAGAAAAATGTTAAAATTTCAATTAATTTTAACTTAATGACAACTCTTTTTTTCCCTAGCTTTTCTTGCTGAGCACATCATAAGATATGAAATATCCCTTGGGTCAGTTGGGGTCCACTGTCCCAGGTGTGTCCCCTCCCAAGTTCTTGTGCACCCCCAGCCCATTTGCTGGTGGGGCAGCCTGAGAAACAGAAAAGGTCTTCACTCTGCGTAAGCATTGCTCAGCAGTAGCTAAGACAACCCTGTATTACCAACACTGGTTTGGTGAAATCCAAAACCTAGCACCATACCAGTTACTATGGAGAAAATAAACTCCTTCCCAGTCCAAACCAGTACACCCATATGTTTCAGATGTCCAGTAATGATACTGCAAGTGCTAACACTCATAACCGAGTCTTTTCTTAAAGAAAAATAATCTACTTCTACCTGCATGTCAATACCCTGGATGGCAGAGTGCAGGAGAGAATACTGGCACTTTTTTCTCACAATGAAAATGGGGAAAAAAAGAGCTACTGTTAACCTAAAAGGAGTCTGTTGGTGAGCTAATTATTATAAGGGTGAAGCCAGTGTAATTGAGTTCAGTTAATGCCATGAATACATTTAAACTGCTCAGAAAGTTCTGCAAGTGGGGAATCTGGACTTTATGTTGACCCTCTTCTGAATACTTGGAAAATCTGCTCTTACTGAACTTCAGTTGACTTCTGTATGGGGCAGAATTTCTTTTGGAAACTGCCACTCTGCCTTTATGTCCTGTCATTTCTTTCCCAGAAAGATGAGGTAGCTCATGAGAATGAAATGACTAGCAGAAATAAAGCAATATGCTTCTAGGGTAAGCAGCAGCTGAGCTATTTTAGGAAAACAGACCAACAGGGTGAGTGGTTTTAACATAAAACCTGTGTAGTTCTTTCTGTGTCTGTATTGGGGTATCAAGTATTTCATAACACTGCCTAGAACAGAATAAGGAGTTTTACTTGGTTGGTTGTTTTTTGCATTGTATTTTGTTTGGGTTTTTAAAAATAATTTATCTTCTTTATTTTTTTTCTTCCTGTGCAATTAAGTTCAGTAAACTAATCCAGGTTTATGCTTTCAGCCAATGTTCTTTTGCCCCACCTCCCAAATTCAAGATGCTGGAGAATTTGCAAGGATCCGTAAGGAATGCAAACAGGAAAGTTTCTGGTACAGAGGTGGGTGATCCAAAGTTATTCTTACCACACTGAGAATGACTTCTTGATGTACATATGCAAAACTGACTGCAAAATGCTTTTTTGTCAGAATATTGTTGTGGGTTAACTCTGTTATGTTAAGTTAAGCATTGTGTTATTATAGAGTTAATTGAATTATTTGCATAATCATTGTAAGTAAGGGTGGTTGAATTAAACTCTTGTTTAATATGAACTTTCTTTAACAATTGTAGAGTTAGTTCTATTCTTGAGGTCCATTAATACAACCACCTTAGGAATGTTTTACTTTGTTATGTACTTATTCTTGCATTTGAATGGAAAGCAGGCATGGCTATGTGTCTTGGATTTGTGACATTCTTCAGGTATTAGGACATCTGAAAGATTAGTTACTCAGTGTTTTAGTGCCTTTTAAGTCCACCACGTCAGTTTGTATCTAAATTACATATTTTCTGAATGGAGAATATTGAAAAGGATTTCAGCATTTCATCGGCGCTGCTGACATTTCTAGTGCTGCAGTAGTGAGAGGAGTTATTCAGATTATGGAAACTATTATTTAATAAGTATACATAATGCATTAGCTCCAGATGTTACAACATGGCTGATGTCTGGCACTGTGTGAGCACATTCTTGCTTTGAAGAGAATGTAATCTGAATGAACAGATGTAATAAGTGATTAGGACAGTAGGCAAAGTTAATGTAATGTGTTTAACATTAGAAACATATAAAACATGTAACGTATAAGAGAGTAAAGTATTTACCAAATACAAATTTTGGCTGATACCAGCTACTCACCTGCTTTTTATTTTCACAGCTCTTCCTTTGTCTCTCGGGAGCATGCTTGTCACCCAGGGGCTAATCTCAAAAGGTAAAGATAAAAAAGTACACTATTAAAGTGCTGTTTTTCAAGATCAATATTCCTCTTACTCATCACCAGAGTGATTCAATCATTATATATGCGTTGCCACAGTCGTTCTTTTGAAAGAGCATGAACTGAAAACTGAATTCGCAAATCCAAAGACTGGCGGCTGGATTCTGTCACCATGATCACATGCATTCGAGTAGAGTCTTCACTGGGGCAAACTGTAGCACAGGTTATTGTACAGCCTGAGCAGAGGCATCAGAATCAGTACTGTAGCTCTAACTGTTGGCTTATTTGAAAAATGCTGGCAATATTCTGACAGTGACCATGTACCAATATGACTACCAAAAAAAAGTCTGAACACTTCTCTGTCTTTAGCGCAGTTCCGATCACGGCCGGCAGGGGGCGCTGTTGGATCGCTGGAGGTGCAGGCCCTGCAGTCCCCGGGGTGGACCGCAAGGGGCCCCGGCCGGCCCCGGCCGGCAACGCAACGGAAAGGGGGGCCGGGGGGTGGTCTCGGGTCATGGGAGAAGCCGAAAAAAGAATGGAGACCCTTCCCCCAGTGGAAGAAGGGGGAAAGGAAAACAGTCCACCCCCCACGGAACTCACTGTTGAGATGGTGTCTCAAGGCTCCTCCTTTTCTCCAAGTGAGCACGCAACTCTCCGGTGAAAACCCAGTAGGTCCCAGCTGGAGTCACGAGGCCGCGTGCGAGCCGACCGAGGCTGGTGGTCAGGCCTCACCAGGACAGAAAGCCAGAAAGACCGGCTTCCAGGCCTTTTCTCCAAAAATGCCCGCACAAAGACCCCCATCTCAGTCCCAGAGAGAGAACCCAGCAAAACTGCCCTCTCCCTTCCGAGAAGAGCCCGGCAAACCCCTCCTCCAAAACTCCTCCCCTCTCCCCCCAGCCTCTGATGGGCCATCCCTTAGGAAGGTTCTTTTGTAAAGCTAATCACCCCCCCCCTTTCCATTCAAACTCTGTCTTTCCTACAGTGGGGGCAGGGGGAAGAAAAATTCCCCCCCTCGGATTTCTAACCTATAACACTGTTGGCTTATTTGAAAAATGCTGGCAATGTTTTTACAGTGACCATGTACCAATATGACTACAGCTTTGATGCAAAGGGACAGGGAATACTGCCAAAGTGAGGAGATAGAGAGCTTTTTATAGTGATGGCTTGTAATCTGCAGACTAACACAAAAGATAATTGTATTCTGTTTATGTGGTGGATGAACCTGGTTCTACACATGGCACCTTGAGTTTCCCTGCTGGGGGTCTTGGCTACTTATAAGTTTGAGGTTAGCGTTTGGGTAAAGAGTGAAGGGTATCCACCCTGAAGAATGCTAAGATGGATATATCCCACAGGAGCAAGTAAGACAGGACTTGCTCCACAGGAGCAAGTAAGACAGTCCTTCAGCCTGCATCAGCAGCTGGTTACAGCAGGAGAAGAAAAAAATCATAGGACCTGAAGCAAGAAGCAGGGCTATTAAAGATGGGTGGTAGAAGACAGCAAATGGTGGTGGTGGAAGTGGCTCATCCATTTCTCACTGTGTGTGGTTGCAAGCCCCTTGTTTTGTTCCAGCCACTTAACCTAAAATCTCAGCTATACCGCAAGAGGCTGACGTGGGTTCCCTATTGCATCCTTGATGTACGAGCTTGTAGGCAGACAGGGAGGGAAGGAGCAAGGGGGAGTATGTCAGAGAAGGCAAAGGATTACGTTAAAAAAAGGTTGAGCAGTGATAGGAAGGGCTCTGGGGTTGTTTCAGTAGCTACACCCTCTGGCACCTGGTACTCTTCTCAGTTTCTGTTCATTGTACTTGAATGTTTCTGATTAGCTGTGAGTTAACAAATGGCCTTATTAAATAATCATTACTGTGTGTCAACAATTGGAGGGGAGGGTTGATTAGAAACAAACAACACTTTTGTTCCTCCTGCCCCGAGAGACCCAGTTTAAAATTACATAGATGCCAGTGTGCAAAGGCCCTTGTGCTTAACATAGGCTGAATGCTCCTCTGTCTAAAGCCTCCTTTTTTATGGCTGCACACAGTACCCTGCCTCTAGAAGAAACTGGAGCTTCTAAGCCTCATTATTACTGTCTGAATGCACATAACAGTGCAACTAGTGTTCACTTCTCTTCCCTTTGCCATGGTAATCTTGCTGTGTGGAGCCCTCTTCCACAGCATGGCACTCCTCTGCCAGATACATAGCTCTCGAAGGAATACTGGTTCCACCTCCTCAGGTTAACTGGGGGAAGATGAATTTTGGTGAAAAAGCTAAAGATAATTTTTTGATTTTCTAGTTTGGCACACTATTCTTCTCTGAAAGGCCAAAATGTGTGATCTTTCCAGAGGAGCAGGCTAGCTACCAGTGGTACAGTTTTAATCCATAGCCACAGAAAACTACTGAAGAACGGTCTTGTCATACTTACTGCAGCACAGGGAGCTGGATCCTGAGTAAGGGATTTAATTTCACTATTATATTTTCAGGGTTGGTTTGTGCTGAAACATAAGCCACCACCATCTCTTTCTCCTACAGTGCTACAGGTGTCACCAGTGGCAGATGTGCTGTTTTCTTGTTATTTTACACTCTGAACTCCTGCCTGAACTGAATCCTGCAAAGTCCAGATCCTTTTCCTCTTGTGACTCTAGGACTACCTCAAAACACATGCACTAGGAACTAGTGGAATGGAAAGTGCCCTGATGTTCTGAAATCTGAGTTAGTGGACTTCTAAGGTTTTCATACAATCTTCATCTTGAGCAATGCAAAAGCTCGTAGGAGGAATACTGCCTTGGTTTTTAGTGCTGGTGAGTTCCTCAAGTGAATAAGTTTGCTGACTATTTCCTTTTATTGTAGGCAGTTTCTCAGCAAGCCCAAGATTTGGTCCATATCCCAAGATGGCAAGTAAGTTGTACCCAATTCTAAAAGGAAAGCTTATTTACAGGCAATGTGCAGACCGTAGATGCATCTCTCTGAATTTCTTTCCTAACTCTTCCTCTTTTGGAATTTATGAGATGTTACCCCAGCACTTTAGGAAATCAGAATTCTAATGTGTTTAAAAACAAATGTATGAAACAAGACTATTTAAATGTAAACACTTCCAATAGCAGCTTATATGTACTTAATACAACCTTTCAAATTCCTAAAAACTCCAGTCTCAGCTTTGCTTTATAAATTATGTCAGCCTCATTGATCAGCCGTGCTTAGCACAGCTTATGGTATTAAGGCATCATGTTACTATAATATATAAAATAGTATGTTCCTTTTCATATGCTCATTTGGTTGATCTCAGCTGTCTAATTCATAAACATGGATTGATAAAGAAAACAAATAAAAGCATGGAAATTGTACTGTACAGTGATGTGGCTCTTAGATAGCAAGAAATAAAATTGATTCCTTCTTCAGCAGAAACTCAGCAGGAACTTGAGGATGTTGAAGTAGTCTTTTATTCTGACTCTGTAAGGAGTGAAAGCCACAATGTGATAGTATGGCAGACTGATGTTCTAGCTTCTTAGAAGTCCAGAGAAGTTGGTGTTAAAAGTATGATCATTAGAAATAAACAATGGTGTGCAAACAAGGGCAATTAGTGCTGACATTGTGAATTAGTTTTACTGTGGGCTGTCTCTACAATCTGTTCTTCTAAATATTATATCCTTTTTCTGGATGCGGGAATATTATACCCTTTTCCTGTATGCATTGTTTTGGACCAGTTGCTATCTCTCCTGCTAGGTAGCCAGTTTTCAGTAGTTGTTGAAATCATGCCTGTAATCCCTTCACATGTGTTTAGGACATGTTTTAAGAAGGCATGTGACATACAATGTGTCATGTGATTAAAATGAGCTAATAGCAGACTCCTGATTTAAGCTCTTGTATTAACAGTGTTTTGTTATCTCTCTTTATAGTTGCTGGTATCTTAGGTTTTGCTATTGGAAAGATATCATACTTTGGAGAATGCCAAAAAAAGTTTGAGAAAAGTGGCATTGCACCATTTGGTCCACAACGAAAAAGGTTTGTGCTTATTTAAAGTATTAATCCTAGATCAAAATACTCTAAAACACAGTAAAAATTATATGCAGCAAGACTTGGAATTTAAATTTTGTGATCAGTTCATGAGGTACTACTCAAAGTCTTAGGCTATATATGGCAGTATTAGAAACTACTATACATTCTTCAGAAAATGCAAATTAAACTCAGTGTTATTAGGATATGATTTAAATGAAATTACTGTACTTTAATGTATGATGTGACAACAGTTATTAGTTCTCTTTTCATCTAGTATCATACTACTAAGGTTATCCATGTTATCACTTCAGCTTTTTTGAGTCTTCCTTTAGACCAGCAGGCCAAATATGCTTACTGATTTTTTTACAGTGTCCTCGTATTTTAACAACAATTTCAGTCTCAACCCATATTCCAACCTCCTCCTCTGTGGCTTTGCCTAACTTCATCCTGTCATGCCAAATCATGAAAAGCACAAACTGCAAGGGTATTTTTTTCTACTTTGCAACCCTAACCGTGGGATAGATCTCAATGGTTGACTTCTGTCACTTGGTACCTCCATATTTTAGTCATTGTTCACATAAAGTGCTCCTTCCCATCAAATCAGTCTCTGACTTCCTTCCAAGCTCCTCCTTCAACTGCCTGTACTACTTTGCATTCTCAATACGGTTTTTGGTATGCACCTTTCACGTGCAAAATACGTTTCCAAAGATCCTATCCACAAAATCATTCTCCTCTGTCTTTCCACATCCTTTCCCCAGACCAGCATGAGCTTTTATGCTTATAAAAATGCCTGACTGATAGCGGGAAGCTTCTTCACTGTTCATCTATTTCTCTACTTGCATTTTCCCCCCACATAACAAAGCTATTACTTTCCTCACTTGGTATTACACAAAATGGCTATTCATCCCTCTTTTGTGTTATACATCTTGCTCCTTGCTTGGTTTGCTCATAAGTACAATGGCAAGGACTGCCTTTTCCTGCACAGAAAATCCTGTTATATTTTGGCAATTGCTGGAAGGGGATTAACACTAATTAATAGGGTTTTATTGGCTGGTTTATTTAGATGTCATCTTTTGCAGTTTATGTCCCATAAAGTGGTTACAAAAACTGGGGAATATAGGCAGGAGATTACTTCATCAAGAACTTTTGCCTTTGTGCTATTGGGTTGTATTAGAAGAAGTCCAGCAACATTCTTCAATATTTTATTTGCTTTCAATATTTTAGGCAGTGTCATCATGCTTGCAAGGAATGTAAAGCTAAAGTGGGATCGAGTGAGAAAGAAGGTTCAGTTCCTTCAGCATCTTAGTCCAGGTAAGCAACCTTGAAATTTAAAATAAATTCTCATGTTATTTTCCATGTTGAGTGGTATTCTTCTTTGAAACCTTTGAACAATATAGTGAAAATCATGGATTTTAATAATGGATTAAAATCTGAGCATTACTCAAGGAAATATTATTTATTCTGTGGTTTCTAATTAAATTAGTTTCTTAACTTTTAGCTTACATACATTTCATGCTAGTTTTAAATCCCCCATTTCTGAGGAATTTTTGCTTTAGCTGTAGCAGGGTATTGCTTATTTACCTAAGTGGAATTAATTTGGACAACTGCTTGTATGAAAATAAATATAACTCCTCCTTATTTCAAACTTTTTTACTTAAGAATCAAATAATTATGGATTATATTGATGTTTAAAAGCGCTTTGAAATATTCAGAACTAAAAGCAGACAAGTTGGGTGTGGGTTTGTTTATTTGAGGGGGGTGGAGGTGGGTTTTTTGCATCCAGTACTATAGTTTGGCTAGAGCTTTAGTGGGGTAGTATAAAAGTGGTGGGGAAAGGGACACAGCTCATGTGGTGTTCTCACCCCAGAAAGGGAAAGTTCCCTTTGCGAAAAAGGAGGATTTAGAGGGTGCAAGGTAGAGGCACTTGTACTCTGTCTATGAAAAACAGGCCAGCAGCTGGGCTTTTTAAGAACATTTTCACACTTTCTGCTTGTGGTAAGCTGGCCTACATTTCTCACAGGCAGGTGAATGTGTGAAAGTGTTTGCAAATAGCTTGGCTGCCTGCAAGAGAGGAGAGCAGAGGGCTTGTTTGAAATCTTGCCATGTTAGTTTGTGTAGCTCGGAACAGAAGTCTGATGCAGCAATTGTTGGATTGAGTCTGGCATATATTATGTAGGAATTTAGTCAAGGATATTGATAATGGTCCCTTTCTTAATCTAAAGTGCTTGCCTGCAGAGAGCCTATAAGGAGGAGTATCCTATCAGAACCTGTTTACTTACCCAGAAGAGAGATTTAGATGGATTTTTACTATGAAACAATACATTATGGCAGTGAGGATTGTCCTGAAAGAAGCCATTAGAATAAAGTCCTGGTTTTAAACAATTTTGTTACTGTTTGAGTGTTTCATATCAAGTGCTGCAAGTGCTCAGCCACTGGCAGAAAATGCAGTTTGGCTTAGCCTCACCTAAAAGGGTTGCTGCCAAAAGGGGCAGCATGTCTTTTGTGCCAGCTGTAGAGATCATGAAGCAGATTGGTGTGCCAGATCAGCTCACTGCTCCATGTGAGGAAAGGGGTAAAAAAGCCCCCAAACCTTTCTGAAAGGTTTCTTGCTAGTGCCAGTGTGAAGGAGGGAGTGAGCCAGACTTAGATAACTGTGAATGAATGATACCCTCAATCCATCAGCAGTTGTGAACCTAATTAAGCCCTTGCATTACTGTGCTGATTAAGTGCTTTTGAAGATTTTCTCTTAAATAAATGCTTATGTAGGCCATTGTCCTCACCTGTTTCAAATAGGGAGCCCAAAGCATATTTCATTGAAGACAGTCACATACTGGCAATTACCTGTGTAGTGTAATCAAATGTATATGGTGGGAATTACCTCTGCTGTTTGTCAGAGCTGCAGCTTGCTGGACCTTAACTCCAAACATATTTTCTTTTTAAACCTTCCACTGTGAGCTGACAATATTTATCTCGTGTATGAGTACCAATTAGCTGTTAAATAAATTGCAGATTGTCTCAAATACAAAGGAGTATTGCAGCTGTAAGAGGGGAAGAATGCAGGATGCCACAGGCCCCTCTCTTTGTTTTCCTCCTGGAATTTCTGCTGTGGAACCTGTTTCCTGTTCCAACTCACATGTTCATCAAAGACCTTGATTGCTGCACTTTTTAACAGCAACTTAGGTCTTCTTGTTTGATTTTTAAAAAGGCTTGAAAGCTTAGTCAGAAACTTAGTCCAAAACCAAATGTAAGGCAAGTGTATTTCTTTGAAGTTTTAATTGCTGGAAGGAAAGAGCCATTATATTTGGGCCAGTTTGGTATTTTGAATTTGCCAGAAATCAGTTTTGATGGACAGGTTTTAGAAACTTAGGAAAAGAAATACTGTAAGCATTGTGTTGTTTTCTGTATTGTTAAACGTCTTTTATGTTCAAGTAAAAATTCTTAATTTATCATGCTGTGCTCTAAAAAGGTACAGAGACCCTACTGAGCACGTCTTGCCACTATCCATGCTAAGCATATGGTACAAGCTCTGGCAGTGCCTAGGAGGACCACCCAGATAAAATTATACTCATGTTTATGCATCCAGAGGTAATGTCATTTATCCTCAGGGACTTCGGAGCATTCTCAGAGAAATCACCAAGAAGCTGCACATTTCTCATTGAAAGCAAGGTGCCATTCAGCTAAATAATGGGTCCTTTTATTCCATTTACAGATGTGGTGAAGACGATAAAGATCTTATGGACCAGCTTCTTTCAAGGCACTTTTCTGTAGAGAAGAAATAATAATTTGGTGATTCTATGACTTTGATTTGGTGTAAATTGACTTACTTCAAGTAGTTGCATATTGTAAAATAGTTCTATTCATGCTAAATACCAGTTTCTTGTAATGCACTTTTTGAAATACACTCCTCTTTTCTCAACATGATCTGGTTTATTTTCCTCTCTTCGGTGCAATTTAGCTCTTAGTGCTGAAAAATTAAATTTGTCTATTGTACTTAGGTTGTAGCAAGACTTCCAGTAGCAAGCCAAATGCCATATGTTGGAATGTTTGCCACCTATGTCAAACAGAAAGAGTGCAAGGATGTTTAAATGATTTGCACAGTTAAGCAGTTATCCAGTCTCTGAGCTACTCCTTGGTTAGGGAGCTCAGGGTATTGTCACACTGCAGTAACTGTCCCGAACCAACTTCTAATAGGCTAGTTTTACACAAAGGTCCACTTTGCCAGGGATACCAAAAGCACGTGCCACATTCATGAACACAATATTTTGGAACAATTTATGGTCTGTACACAATCTGAGGCCACCAGATGTTGATGAAAAAAGACACCTAGATGGCACGTGCGCTCTACGAACAGCAGGACACACAAACCTCCATGAAACATCTCAGGAAATCAAAAGCAGACACTTTCCCCAAACACAGTGATGGTATTCACATGAAAATCAAATGCACACCAATGAAAAGTTTGGGCTTCACTGTCAGTTGATGAAGACTGTCTTTCATGGGGTTTTTCTGTTTGCTTTGTACTATGCCTTTTATACTATACCTGTGATTAGTGCCCCTCTTTTGAACTAGCTTCTTTGTGCATCCTTACCAGAATCCAAAGAGATTCTGCAAGCAGGTTATATAGTATGGAAAAGTATAAAGTAACTATGGTTACTACACACAAAAAACATTCTGGATTTAACAAAACTATTAGACTGAATACTCAACTCCCTGACAAAGCACTTGGATAGACTTTCCTAGCCAGACAGACACAAGGCGGAAGAAGGGTTAGACTGACTAGACTCCATTTTCTTTTTTTTCCTATAAGATTTTATACTTTTCCACTTGGTGTTTGGCCTCGTGAATTCTTGAGCTACTAAGAACTCCTGTCTCAACAGGGACTTTAACTTTGCACTTTTTACTTTTCTACAGAATTTTTCCACAGCTCTTTCTCGGCCAATGGAGTCAGGGATGCACACCGATGCTGTGTCATAGCTGATGCTGTGTATAGGCAGGTAAGCCTTGGAGAGCCTTGCACAGGGACTCCAGGGAGAGGGGTTACACAACCACAGAGAAGTCACCTCCTTTGTGAAAATAATGTAATTGTCATGAGTGTACTGTGATAGCCAGCAAAACTTGTATGGTGACATGTCTTAGCTGCTTTCCCTTCATCTGACATCTGCTGCCAAAATAAGAGCAAGAAGCTGCACCGAGGTTAGTTATGCCTGGGTTACCTGAGGTAAGACATTCCTACACCCAGGTGATGCCAAGGAGAGTGATGCATGTGACAGAGGACCTTTCATGTCAGATTCTGTGTGCTCAGGCATATCACAGTTTAGTTGAAGTCCACATACTTGTTAAAATCAGGAAACAAAATACATCCTTCAGCTGTAATACATAAAGTAAGTAGCTGCATGGAAGCCTCAATGTGCTTTATGAAATTATGACTAGAAAAATTATGACCAGTCAAAGAGGAAAGCTATGGCTACATTAACCTCAAACAACTGCAGTAGACTTCTTATCTTTGAGAACGTTTGTATTAGCTGTTTGAAATCAGTTTACAAACAGAGTATTCACTCCAAATTAAAAAAAAAATAAATGTTGTGTTTTAGAAGAGAAAGCAATTGTAGGTTGAAAACAGCACATTCCTGTTTAAACCCTTAGTAGCTGGACTCTAGGCAAGCCAGCTGGTCTATAATTCTCTCTTAAAAATGGAAATCAAGGGGAGATGAAAGCTCAGTATCTGAGTTTTTATAAATCCCTATCAAAAACAAGATCTGGGGCTTATTACATTTTGAGAGAAGAGTGACAGAACAGGGCGTGCTATCAAATGACAGGTAATGGGAGGGGAGCTCTGGGATGGACTGGTAAGAAGGGAGTGGGGCAGGATTTATGACAGCAGCATGCTGGACCAGGCCAAGTGGGAAGTATGAAGAGGCAGCTGGCTTGGGCGCCACTCTGGTACCTCTGACAGCGACGCTAATTTGGGAGCAGCAGCCTCTTCCTCATGACCATTTCTACCAGTGAAAGAGCTGCTGGTAAGTTGTCCCACTTGCCCAACTTGTTTTTGGCATCACACACAGAAACTCTATTTGAGAGAGCCAAAAAAAAAAGGGATCCAGCTTCTGACATCAGTATTGCAGTCGTTCCACATTCTGGAAATCCAATGCCACTTTGGTATGAGTTTGGAGTCTTGGTTCTGTTTTTTGGTTTTTTTCCAAGTAAAGCCCTCAAGAAAATTAGATTCTCAGGAAATAAATGAGACTCTTCTCAAGGCCAGTTAAAAATCTAGAAGGCTTGAGAAGCCTTCTGGGGACATGCTAGGGGACATCTGGTCAACAGATAATCTGATGAAGGAAAACACGAGTGTTCCTTGATGACAAAATTACAGAGCTGGGGAAAAAACCTCCATACTGAGAGGCTGACTAATAAGCTTCGTAGTCATGGGGAAAAATACTAACTGCATCACACAGTTGGTTTTAAATTACTCTGACTTTCTCAGTACAGAGATCTGGGAGTTGTTTTGCATAGTTGCAAGACATAAGATCAGTTGGCTATGACAGCCAAAAGGCAAGTAGAACATTAACAATTCCGGAGAAAAAAATGGGAGAAAAAATAGACTTACAGTACAGAGCAATTCTATGGCATGCTCTCATCTTGAATATTATGGTGCTTCCAATGCAGCTCAGAAAGTGTGCAACAGAGCTGAGAGACAGAAAAAGGAGAAATACAAATTAGAATGATCAGAGATACAAAGTGGTTTCTTCAAAAGGGATTAGGTAATTCACTTTCCAGGCTGAAAACACCTCAAGATGAGGAATACAATATCTGTAACCGTGTGAAAGATGAATGGGGAACAAGTAATTGCTGGTTTTGTAAAATCAAAACTAATCAGCACTCAGGGAAATCAGGGAAAGATTTAAAGCAAACAGAAAAGAAACTCATCTTTATACAGCACAATTACATTGGGGGGATTCTAGACACAAGATATGGTAGAAGCAAACAAAACAGTTCCAGAAGGCACAACCTACACAGAGACTTGGTGGCTGCAAAACACCTGCATTTGCGCAATCCAAACCTTTGTGTCAGGAAACTTCTCAGCTCTGATCAGAGAAGGACAGGAGGGTGCCCTGGTGAAAGATCTCCTTCTAGAAGGATCACTAGCCAGCGTGGGAGACAGGGTGACCATTACGGTGATTCTTACAACTTTTGAAAACACATGTTGAGAGCCTTGCCGCTTGAACTAAACTCCACCTAGCTCACACCTGGAAATGGAGACTGGAACATCATGTGCAGAGAGCACAAGATTCAAGATTCCTGAGAAAACACACCTTTTAATTATTTTAATTACGGTATAGTAATTAAATATAATTAATATTAATAATATTAATGTTATTAATAATATAATAATAATTATTAATAATAATATATTAATAATACTTTCTCTGTAGATGAAGGGTAAAAAAGTACCAAAGGTGGGAATGGATGTTTTTCCCATTGTCTTTGACATACAGACTGTTTGAGAGCAATGGCACTTCCAACTTGTTGCATAGAAAAACCCCACTTACCTAAACTTTTAAGTGTTACTTCTCGCTTATGCGCATTTTGAGCATTCTACTGCATCGCTCTGTTGTTCAGGCACATTGGCAAGCTCAGGTATTTCCGAGCAGGAAACACCTTTTAAGAAGTCCTCCCAGAGGCACATTTTAAATCTGCCTTTCCCTTGGCTAGCTGGAGGCTGAGGTCAGACATGGTTGGGCTGGACATGCCCCAGCTACACTATTGTATCTCTAGGACTTGAAAATACAAATAGGAGACCTTTCCCAGCAGCAAATGCCTGCCATTTACTCACTCCCATTCCCCTAATCAGCTCCACAGATCCGACAGATCTAGTAGCAGCCTCAGGAGCTGCTTCTGACCATTATCAGGCACAGAGCCTGCCCGTGTCTCGGTGGTTTCACACCACGCTGCTGCACAGCTGGCAGCTCCAGCGGGCGGCCGCCGCATGGTCAGACAGCTGCTCCCCCAGCCCAGCCGCTCCACCAGCCCAGCCTTCTCCCCTTCCACACTCCCCTCTGCTTCTCCTGGCACAGCAGGAGCGTGCCCAGGCTGGAGGGGCTCCTTGCTCCCACAGAATGGCGCGTGACTTGTGTCTGCAGTGTGGCCTCGAAGGGGGTTGACAGCTGCACGTTCTCTGGCATGTAGAGGGTAAGTGAGGAAAAATGAATGGAGTCTTTCATAAAATCCTCAGGGGACCCTGAAAAACACACTTAGCTCTTCAATGCAAACACACAGCCATATACACTGAGTGCGTGACGCTGTACCAGCAAAAGTGTTTTCTACTTAGCACAGCTTACTTAGAAATTTTTTTTTACATTGTTAATAATCCATCATTGATGTTTAGGCATTAGATACTGCAACCAAATTCAGCCTTACCTGAATCAGTTGCACTGTTTTAAAATGCTAGTTATCATAAAGTAGTTCAGGTTAACAATTGTATTTAAACTACAGAATTAAGCCAAACTAAATTATTTGTTTTGGCATTAGATTTATATAGAAACTAATTTTAGCTTCATAATTAAAAATAAAAATCTAATGCACTAGAAATGAGCTTCCTCTGTGGGTTGGAGTGAGTAGAAAAGAATGTATAGCATTCCCTGTAATGAATGAATTGAAAATTTTGGTGTTTAGAAGCTGTTCATGTAAGATTGCATATCCTGAAAATAGAGTCCTGCATCATCACTGAGCAACTGGAAGAACAGCAACACAAAGGTTATACACTAAAGATTTTTAATCTGAATAATTTAGTTCAAGTTTTGACGAAGGAAATCTATCAAACTCTCCATTTCTCCTTAAGATTTTTTTTCTCCTTTCAAGGCTCAGTGAAAGTTCTATTTGATTATCTGTTGTATCAGATGATTGTGCAGTGTCTTTATCAT